GAATATTCACTACTGTGCTTAATAATGACAGGAGTTAATAATAATCCTTGCACCCTCTGATCAGCAAACACTGGCTGGCTCCACATTCCCTGCCTGTTCTCCCCCACCATCGGCCACTTTGCCTCTACTCTCTGGAACATTATTCCAGAGTCCCTGCACAATGCTCCCTTGCTCCCTGCCTTCAAACCCCACCTTAAGACCTATCTCTGCAACTGCGCATTCAGCCACCTTTGCAAAACCAACTGAATCTAGTTTAACTTAAAGAACTTGTTAATGAAGCACAAGGAAGGGTTTGGGGGCAAATAAGGGAGTTATGGCTGGGGAAGATTCACCTGGATGGAAAAATTCCATCTGATTCTAGACTTACAATTTTTCCTTATCATTTCAAATAGGGATGAATTTAGCAAATTCTTAAAATCTGGTCTTAATTATGAGATCTTAAAGACTTAAAAGGAACTACCTGAAGGTGGTTTCAAAATTAAGTCTGATTTTAAGAATTCACCAAATTCTGTAATGGTTTTGAAATGCAACAAACAACTGGACTCTGTGGTGGGGAGGGGGACTCTGGTACAGTTATTTGTAATATTAAGTTTGAATGATTGAGGGGTTCTTGGCCAAGCTTCCTATGCTACCTTTTACATTTCAAGCAAATTGTAGCTGCTAATATCTCCATTAGGTGGCGTAAAGTGTACCTTTTGAGACCACAAGATCTGGTAACAGTTTTACTCTATCAAAGGACGAAATAAGCTAAACTATGCTAATTTTGAATAAGGTAAGAGAGCAAGCTTCAAACATGGAAATAAAGACTCTTTATGTAGTGCAAGATCCATTCCACTCCAGGAGCAAGACAACCTTTGACTACATGAAGAGACCTATTTAGGCCCAAACATTTCACCAAATCAGGAAAATATATTTTTAATCATCAGGGTTTGATTTGAAAGTACATCTTTTTCAAAATATATTTTTACTGCAGACATTACAAGTACAAAGTCCATAAAATATATATTTTTGATAACATATCACAACTTCAGATGATAAATCCAAAAATTAAAGGTGTGTGATTGGCACTTTTGTTTCTTGGGGTAAAGCTGGGCTGTTTTTTGTTCTGTCATTGAAGATTTTTGTTTTCTTAATGAAAGACAAATATTGACCAATCTGTCAACTTTGTGGCTCATTGGGTTTATTTAGGTCAATCATTCATTCAGAACAGCTAATCACTCCAAATACTCTGCTGAATATCAAAGAAATCCAATGTGATGAGTTCACCTCCAAACAATGTCTGAAGCACAACAAAGCACAGTTGTATATTTTCATAGTCCTTTCAGTCACAAATCATGTGAATTTGCAACATATATAAGTCATACTCACTCATTTGACATGTGCTGTTTCAAACCAAAGGCATAATGTTGCAAGAAACCATTCGTAATGACAAAATCTAACTACAGCAAATCTGGTGAATAATCTCACCATTCAAAAAATTTAATGCTGACTTGCTGACTACACAGTGACTACCAAGATTATAGTGGACACTTGTAGCGCTGGAAAATCTTGCAAGTTTTATAAATATAATTTGTTACAAAAATATGTGGAATGATTGAGCATTGATCTTAAGCAATTCACAAGAAACAACATGTTTCAAGGCTTCATATAACACCTGCAAGATCTCAGCTCCAGGTCAAATAAATCAAGCAGGAAAGCAGAAAGTTGACCCATGTCCATCTTTGATGCTTTCACACCCCAATGTTGACAAACATCAGAAAATGGGTCTGGATTAACTGGGTCACAACCTTCATCAATACATAATCCATGTATTTGGTATAGCACCTTTCACATTAAGACAACATCTCAAATTGCTTCACAGGATTTACTGTGAAGTGGAGTGATTGCATATTTGTAGCTGAAAGCAGCAGACCAGTTGCAGACAGCAGTGACCCACAAACAACCAAGAAACAAATTATTTTATTTGGACGATTGTTGGCTAGGTATTGCTGAGTGAAACTCCCTTCTCTCTTTGAGTAGCACCATTTAGCTGAACAGACAGATAGGACCTGAGTTTAATACAACACCTTCAACAATGAAAATTCACCAAAAATGGAAAGTTGAGATTAAATGTTATTCAGAACCTGGATTTGAACTACTGCAATAAAACAGAGGGTTAGCGCTCCAATTGTCTATTTTGTGGATGGTATATGTGGATTCAAAGTCCCAATTCGCACCTGAATGGTGGAGTTTCCAAACTCAACCACATGACCATGACTGAGCATGAGCTTGTCAATTCTGCTAAGAGATAAGGTATGTCACGAAAAGAGCTAGCGATAGAGCAGCATTAGTAGATCCTGGGAGCAAGGCTTCATACGAATAATAGATGGTATAAATATCTAGGAGAAAAAAAACTACCATCCCCCACACCCCTCCCCCCCTCCAAAAAAGGATTCTATCTCTATGTCTCTGAACCAGAGAAAATGCCTCACTGTGGATCTGCTATTTTTGCCCAAATATCAATAATACATTTTCAATAGTTTGTGTTTTGTTGAGTAGGGAGTCAGGTTCATCCAATTGTTCAGCTGCTAATGCTACCTGTGTGTTTATGTCTTTGAAAAGAGCTATCCAATTCAATCCCACTCCCCACTCTCTCCCCATAGCCCTGCAAACTTGTCCACCTGAAAGAATTATCTAATTATTATGACAATAATTATTATGGCAAATAATGGCAATAATTTTGCTGTCTCAGTATTGAAAGAAGAAAATCCATTTAGTGTTATAAAAGGATAACTTGCAACATACAAGGTGTCCCATCAATTTATAATGTTTCAGCTGTACCTCTGCTCACCCTTTTTGCAAACAAACTGAAAGGCTATTACTTTAACTACAGCTCCCTAAATGCCCATAACGTGGTAAACCAAAACAGAACAGGAGGTTTCATAGTTACAGAACAAGGAGTTAGAGGGTCTCTTTACGAAATTACATCATGCTTTAGCTTCAGGTTTCACTAAACAAGACAAATATGTATATAAATTTCAAAGTATTTCTACAATTATAGTACATTAAAATTATATTCTTTTCACCTACAGGGTACACAATCAATACACTTTACACTAGATCCTATGAAGCACTTTGAAACATCCTGCCAATGTGAAGTGCTATCTCAAATGCAAGGAATATAATTATATAACATAATAATAATAGTGTTACTTTTTTTAGCACGTTTGAACTTCATAAAATAGCTACTTTTTGCAGGAGATTGATATTTTGTTCCCCAGGTTATTTGTCAAGCCATTTCTGAATAGTCTTAATACCTAACATTCCCAGTTGCACCTATGATTATGGGAAGTATGTTTTATATTGTCACTCACATCTGCATTTAATTTGTAGATCGATATATTTCTTGATCTTCTCTAGTTGCTTATTTCTTACATTGTAATCACTTGGGATAGCCGCATTAATAATACTGCATGTACAATCAATTTGTTTCCTTATGATAATATCTTGTTTTTTCTACAGATTACTGTTATATCTGTATGTCCTTGTGAGTCCCAGATTATTGGGATGTTATTTTTATTATTATTATTAAATCATGCATCTACATACTACACTGAGTTATTATGAATAAACAATATATTCACAAACTCTATAACAACAGGCCATGACTGAAGCTCAGAAGAGAGGAGATAAATAGGCCATTTATATTTACCTCCTCATGAGGAAAATGTAGAATGGACTACTGGGAAGGGAAAATGTTCGATTACTCTTTGCTGAAGTGCAATTCCAGGCAGGGCGAAACCTTGGGCAAGTTTTCTTACTCCACACGCCTAATAATAATCCCTCCAAAACTAAAAAAAACCAATAATAAATTGGCCATTTTCAATCTATGACTGTTTGTGGGACATTGCTGTGCGCAATTGGCTGCCGCGTTCGCCCACAAATAGACAGTCAATTCACTTTACAGTGTGTTCTGTGAAGCGCTTTGGGACGTCCTCCCGACGTAAAAAGCGCTATATCAAATGCAAGGATTATTGTTATTATTATTAAGATAGAGTCAATTGTTTAAATTGTTTAATATTGAAGAGGAAGAAAGAAAAACTTGTATTTTTAAATCCCGTGTAATGTTAAAACATCTCAAAGTGGTTTACAATCCGTTCTGTGACATGCTGTGACTTTATAATAGACACATTTGTCAGTCATTTTGCTCACAGCAAAGTCCCACAACAATAATGTGGTGAATCTATTTATTTGAAAGATTTTTGGCCAGGACACACAGAAATTTCCTTTTTTTGAATAATCATGGAGTAGGACTTTGGGCATAGTGTTGGTCCACATTAGACCTGCACTCTAATCTATGACAATCCATGCTCAACAGAGGTACTTTCTAAAAGGCAGCCATGTATTATGAATCTGGAAATGCTACCAGTTGCTTTGAGATAAATCATCTAAAGAGCAAGATTTCCTGTGCAATAAATTAGCATGGTTTACTGCATGCCACATGTAGCTTATTAATGCACTAATATTAATTTGTAGTTCACTTAAAGTCACTGAATTGCCTTATAAATTAAAGAGTTTTTAAAGGAACTTAAACAGAGGGAGTGAGAATAAAGAGTAATATTATTCAGAAAAGTACAAGTAAGTCCAAATTGACAGCTTAATAGAGTGACACAGTGATATTTGGAATAGTCTATGTAAATAGCTTGCATTGGTATAACACAGCTACTATTTTATAGAAATTCCTGTATAGGCTCGATGTGTTCTCACATCACCAGTTAATCATAATATTTTGTAGTAAGAGGGTGTACCGCACTGCATCATCTTATACCCCTCCTCCATCAAATAAAAACAATGTGTTGGCAGGATGATAGTTGTGAATGGGAAATATCGTAGTAAGGTCAGAGGGAAGGGCTGGGAATGAAGAGAGGTGGCAGAGCTGGACTTGGGAGTGAAAGGCACAGGAAAGCCTTGTGCTCAGTGTGTTCCCAGCTCCTGCCAAGTCCTGCTCCTCAACCTCAACCATGCAGGCGCCCATCTACTGCATCCTGCTTTGCATCTGCACATATCAGGTAAGCTGTAAGCTTTAAAATTAATTTAATAGAACGCGTGCTTGTGAGTGAAGGCGGTGCAAAGTATTTTATACAACACTGTCGGTAGTTTGGGGTTTAGTTAAGCAGTCATTGCAGAAGAATTATTAATTAAGTGCAGATTTCTAACAAAACAAAGTTGCATATTTAAGCTGTGAAAGAATGACTGTATAGTGGTAGGGCATATTTTTTTCAAATAATCTGAATTAGCTCTGGATAGTTTATAACTTCATTTCACATTTGTTTGTGTTTTGGGGCAAGATTTAGTATTTTGAAAAGTAACCCACAAACAGATGTGAGATGTGAGGTTGGATGGAGCAGACAGATGCATAAGGCTATTTAGCATTTCTAAACAGCCTTATTAACTCAAATGCTGTATTCACCAATAAACCTGCTTTTGCACTGCATGCAGATTGGAGATACCGGACGCCTCTATGAATATTGCTCAATATTCCTAACACACAACACACCTTTATAGTTTCCCTTGGACTAAAAGGACCATTGAGGGAAGAGTTTCACTGAGCCAGCAGCAGAGAACGTTTCACACAGTGATAGCCTGGTATTTGTAGTATGAAAACTCATTCACCTCACAGTCAGACGTTAGGCACAACCACTGAATTTCTTAGAGGCTGTGAAAGTCAATTTTGTATTTCCCAGGAATTTATGTTTATTTATGTTTTGGAAATCAGCCAGGCTTTTTTTTTTGGGGGGGTGGGGGTTAATGGAGGTAGAGATATTCGTAAATTTCTTCTATTTTATTGTAAACAAAGTTTGAAACTTGTTTTCCTATGCAGTTGATTTTCCACACTTATACACGTCACCACCCCACCACTCCCCTCCACCAAAAAGGTTTGTTTGGCAATGGTTTAGGTGGATGGTTTTGTTTCTGTGTTGAGATTATTTCTGAGATCTCATCCAACTGCTCACAGCCTCGAGTTTGAATTTACACAGTGCTGGGAAAGTACACTCACTCTTACACACTCACACTCACACACAGCCGGGTCAGTGCTCACACTCATTCACACTCAAGCACTCTCATACACTCACAATCTCACACACCATGGTCAGTGCTCACACTCACTCACAATCTCACATACCCAGACCAATGCTCACACTGATGCTGTGTGTATGTGTGACGCTGTGTGTGTGTGACACTAACACTGTGTGTGTGTGACACTGACACTGTGTGTGTGACACTGACGCTGTGTGTGTGATACTGACACTGTGTGTGCGTGACACTGACGCTGTGTGTGTGTGTGACACTGACGCTGTGTGTGTGTGTGACACTGACATTGACGCTGTGTGTATGACACTGACACTGTGTGTGTGTGTGTGTGTGACTGACGCTGTGTGTGTGTGACACTGACACTGTGTGTGTGTGACACTGACGCTGTGTGTGTGACATTGACACTGTGTGTGTGACACTGACGCTGTGTGTGTGTGAGTGCACTGATGCTGTGTGTGTGTGTGTGTGTGTGTGTGTGTGTGTGTGATACTGATTCCCAGTTTGATTCCCGGCAGGGCGAAATCTAGGGCAAGTTTCCTTACTCCACACACCTGATAATAATCCCTCAAGAAAAAAAACAATAATAAATTGGTCACTTCAATCCACAACTGTTTGTGGGACACTGCTGTGTGCAATTCGCTGCCGCGTTTCACCCACAAATATACAGTCAATTCACTTTACAGTATATTGTGTGAAGCGCTTTGAGATGTCTAGAAGACGTGAAAAGTGCTATATCAAATGCAAGGATTATTATTATTATATATTAAAAAGCATGTTTTTCCAATGTCTCTTTGACACATTTTGTTTCTCTTTCGGTGGAAGTGACACTATTGTAACTGAAGATCTAAGTTCTCAACCTGAATAGCGCTGATTCATACTCATATCTGCAAATTGACCGCTTATTTACATTAACACTGTAGATTTCATTCCATCAATGGAATGAAATGTCAGGGAGATGAAATGTTAGATAGATCACACACTAAAACCAGTCCAATCATTGAACAGATTTGAAAGACCTCTTGAAAACCAAAATAGGATCATATTACATTTGCTTGAAATAATTGAATTTCTTGCATATATTCCAGGGACTCCTCCAAGTCAAGTCACAGAAGTTTCCTCCTGCCATGCCTGATGCCTCCTTTATACTTTTTGGTCCTTCCAGGGATAACAAAAAGGACCTACTCACCTCGTAATACTACTTTAACTAATGACTCTCATATTCTGGCTGTTACTCTGTCATTGCACTAAACATATTCATATCTTTAAAGTTCTCTGGGATGCTACCCTGCATGAGAGGCGCTATATAAATGCAAGTTGTTATTGTTCATAAATACCAAGAGGTGTGTTTATGGCTTAAATCATTTGTTTAGCATAAACGAAAGTGTGAAATTTGAGTGATTGAGCCTTTTTTTTAACCCAGAGTGTAATTAATGACTGGTACAGGTTACCAGGAATGATGATTGAGGCTAGAATACTGACTCATTTAAAAAATAGCTTAATGCTGTGATGACATGAAGGTAAGAGTGGGTGTTCTGTAGGGATGAGATTGGATAGGCCAAAGTGCCTTTCTCTTATGATCTTGTGATCTTATGATTGGATGCTTGAAACATAGACCAGAGTGTGGCTTGCATTCAGACGTACAAATATGTGCAATTGATAAATATTTGTACCTGAGATATTTAATCACTGAGTTGAAAGTGATTAAATATCTCAGGTAGAAATATTTATCGTAAACACGGTCCTCTTCCACCGTGCTTATGACCACCTCCCCCCACCGGCTCCGAGTCAGGCTCTGTCACTGTTAAGCACTCTGAGACACTATCCTGTGTGGAGGGCGCGAAATAAGTGCAAGTTGTTGTTGTTGTGTAAAATTAGCCAATAGGAATGCTTAAAGCATGTATTTAATTCAAAAGTAATTAAACTCCTAAAAGTGCAGCAAGGTATAGGTTGACAGCAGATTAACTAGATTTGTAAAAAAGCAAATAACTGGGTAACAGTTTACACTTGGAATAAGGAATTCAAATGTTATATTTGGCTCAGTGATCTTATACAGTGAAATAAGTGAAGTATGGTTCACGGTATGTTGCAACTCCTTTACTCAGATTAGAATTATGCTTGAATCTGACATTTGTTTATTTGGAGTCAACAATAATAATAATAATAATAATACATTTGATATCGAGCTTCTTACGATATACTGTAAAGTGGATTGACTGTGTATTTTGTGGGTGAAATGTGGCAACCAGTTGTGCACAGCAATATCCTACAAATAGCCATGGAGTGAGTGACCAATTTTATTTGGGGGATTGTTGGCCACTGCAGTTGTGCACTGTTTTCTGCAGATTGAATGATGGGAAACTAACTTCAGAGGTAAAACTGGGTTCAAAACATTTTCAAAATTCTGCACAATTTAAAATTTTAAAACACTGCTCTTAAGGTTAAGATCAAGAAAGTTTTCAATCCTCTGATTTTCAAAGAGTCATCATGTTTGTGCTTCTTTGACTGCAAACTCTTACTGATATTGTAAAAGAAACAGATCAGATTTTTCAAGAGATTTAACTGTATCAAAGATCTTCTGCAGGATACAGGAGAGTAAAGCTCAACAAGGAGACGTGAAAACTCGAACAAAGACAGCAGAGTTTGAAGATCCTCCTGAACGCAGACAATTTTGTAAATGGCCTTGCAAATGCTCAAACAAACCAATATGCTCTGCTGGTGCAAGTCTAGTAACAGATGGTTGTGGATGCTGTAAAGCCTGTGCAAAACAAGTTGGCGAGCTCTGTACTGAAGCTGATACCTGTGACCCCCATAAGGATTTATACTGTGATTATTCTCGTGACAGGCCTAGGTACGAATTTGGAGTATGTGCATGTAAGTTACACTCTCTACTGTCTAATAGTAGCATTGTATTCAATGCTTTACAGAAAAAAATAAGTAGAATTGTTTCAGTCTATCATTACTTTGGGATATTATATTTAGATTCATATTTGAATAAAAATGGCTAATCTATTTCTTTTAAAGAAGAAGCTTTTACAGAAATGAACCCTGAGATGGTTAATAGTTTACATGAGAGTTTAAACAACAGTGTTGTAGCACATCAAAGTGTTCATATGCTTTGAATTACCTGACTGGAAAACAATAAAATATAAAATACTTGTATAAAGTGAATAGTGCTGTGGAATTTTTAACGTCTCCCTGAACAGGCAGGCAGGACTTTAGCTTAACATCTTATTCGAAGGACGGCACCTGACAATGCAGCTCTCCCCTGGTGTTGCACTAGAGACTAGCTTAGATAGCTTAGACTATCAGATCAACGTCCCAACATGGGTCTTGAACTACATCCTTCTGATGTCACAGCAATAGTGCTACCAACTGAGCCAGGCTGACACATACTCTTGTGTAATGTAAATCCGACTGCATGAATTAGGAAATTAAGTACTTAGCAAAAAGTTTTCTGTTTTGCTTGGAATAAAAGTTTGATATTAGTTGTTTTCTTATCCCGCATTCTGGTGTTTTTCTTCATATTTGATATGAAAGTTGCTTATTAGTTAGCAGTACAGCCTGACATAAAGTTCAGAAGAGCTGCTAGTGTCATTTGTGCAATGAAACTCTCTGAAGTGTGGATCCTACTTTCATTTATTTGTAAGTGCTGTCAAACTATATCCTGTCCTGTCCTTTGTTGTTTTGTTTTTAAAATTGTTCAAGGCCAATATGTAATGAGGAAGTGTGAATTCCAAAATTTCCTTTGCCAAGAAATTTCCAGTTGGCATCAGATTGTTTTACACCACTATACTTTTCATTTAATGAGATAATATGTTTTAGGTTCTAAAATATAGCATTTAGCAATGCACTTTACCAATATAAATATTTGAAATACTGGAGTTATTTATTTATTGTAACAGAAGTTACATTATACCTATATTGTTTCCATTCTGTCTTGCACGTGGTCCTGGCATTAATCCTCTGACTGAACAGATTTAAATTCATGTGGTGGCATGGTTTAGTCATGGTGGGTGTTCTGATCAGTTCTCCCTTTGACTAATTCTACCTCTGAATAATTGACCATTAAGAGTCATGGATTTTAACATGTTTTGGAAAAGTTTAGTTGATACCCAGTTTTCAAATCAGTTTCCAATTGTGGAGGACAAGTTTGCAGTGCTATGGGGAGAGAGTGGGGGTCGTGGGATTGATTTGGATAGCTCTTTTCAAAGAGCCGGCACAGACACGAAGGGCCAAATGGCCTCCTATGTTGTATAATTCTGATTCTATGATAATTGTTTGTCTAGCTGGCAGATGTGATATGATAGCTGAAAAGGCCTCTGTATTACCAATCAATCAATTTAATATGGCTTATTTATTCTTGCAATTTTTAAGGTAAAAGAGAACAAATGTAAAATCCTACATACCCATTTCAATATAATATTAATATACTGTTTTTGTATACACACAGGTATTTTCAAAATGGAGAGGTAGAGTGCTTATCATACTTTTAATATATTTATTAATTACTTAAGATGCTCTTTGTTTTCTTTAGATACGATTGGAGTTGCGTGTGAGTTAAATGAAGCTTTTTATCATCACGGTCAGACATTCCAGCCAAACTGTTATTATAAATGTACATGTCTGAATGGTGCAATTGGATGTACGCCTACCTGCACAAAGAAATTGGCTGCTGGCCAGTGTAGGAATCCCAAGAATGTAAAGAGGTCTGGGTACTGCTGTGAAAAGTCCTTTTGTGATAAGGCTCCGGGGAACAATCAACAACTAACAGCATATAGGACAAGGCCTGGTACGTGGCTAACATAAGGCCTGGTCGGTGGCTTTTTTTTCATAGATTCATAGAATGTTATGGCACAGAAGGAGGCCATTCGGCCCATCGAGTCTGTGCCGGCTCTTTGACAGAGCAAGTCACTTTCACTAACCCCAATCACCAGCTTTCACCCCATAACCCTACAAATCCGTCTTCCCCAGATACCTATCCAGTTCTCTCTTAAAGGCTGTTATCGAATCGGACTTCACTACCCTTTCAGGCAGATCATTCCAAATTCGAACAACTCGCTGAGTGAAAAAAAATTCTTCTAACCTCCCCTCTAACTTAAATAAGATGCTTAAATAAGACCTCAAAACTGGCTATCACACAATCCTATCATTGCAAATGTTAGTTATTATTGGACTTAAATTTTAATGAAATAAAGCTGTTGATCCACAATCATATAGTAATTGCCTAGTCAGGACATTTTGCACCATTCCGCTTTCTATGTAATGTGATACAATAGTACTGATACAGTTTATATTATAAAATAATACCATTTGGAAACACATTCAGTTTTGGCATAGCACTGTTTATATTTCATATTGAACAAAAATGTTGTACTATGAGTACATTAATATATTCAATTTGATGGTCAAGACTGACTTATTATCAGCTTGTGCCAGGCAATGGAAATATTCCCACCCATGAGAGAAATATATCTGAACTGTTTGTAGGCCTCTTTTGGCACCAGTGGCTCTTGGGCTAACACAGCACCATTGATATTGAAGGGATCTGCTGTGGGAGAGGTGAGTGGATATGGAAGAAAAGGAAAGACTCAAAACTGCAAGTTGATTTTTAATGCATAAAAATTGGCACTAGGTACAGTGCCACGTCAGACTCATCAGTTTTTCTTTTGATCAGCTAGGTTTCCGACGCATGAGGAAACCCATCACCGTGCTTAAGAGTATCTAAACCAAACTGAGAGCTCCATGCAACCTACCTATACATGGAAATTTCTGATATATTTATTGGAATAGAAAGCTCACCATCTTCCTTGAAGATGCAAACAACTTCCCTAATACCAACAAGAAGAAAATTACATTTATATAGCTCCTTTCACATCGGGAGGATGTCCCAAGGCACTGGACAATCAATGTTTTGGACCCAAGATGGGGATCGCGATCAGGGAGGGTGGGGGTAGGGAGGCAGGGGGGGCAAGGAGGGTGACCGAAGGCACAGTCAACCTACCCGACCTGTCCTTAAAATTCTCTGAACCACATCCGATCCCTGACTAGCACAGGTTTCTTCCACCTCCGCCACATTGCCCGTCTCCGACAGTACCGCACCACAAAAGCTGCGGAAATCCTTGTCTATGCCTTTGTCACCTCTTGGCTGGACTACTCTAATGCCCTCCTCACCGGTTTCCCCTCCTCCATCCACAAAATTCAGCTCATCCAGCCCACATTCTCACCAGCACCGAACTTCGTACCCCAATTACTCCACTCCTTGCCAAACTCCACTGGCTCGACTTCAAGAACCTCACTCTAGTGTTTAAATCCCTCCATTCTTTGGCACCCCCCTATCTCTCTAACCTCTCTCCTCACAGCAGTACCCTCTGCCTCCGCTCTACTGGGTCCAGCCTCCTCCGTGTCCCCCGAATCCTCTGCTTCACCATCGGCAGCTGTGCCTTCAGCCACAATGCCCCAAAAGTTTGGAACTCCCTTCCTCAACCCCTTCCCCATCTTCAGGCGGGGCCTGAAGATCTTCCTTTGCGACCGTGAGGATCTCGGTGGCCTGCGGTGTAAAACAGTGGCGGAGCCGAGTGATGTTGCGGAGGTGAGGAAAGCTGCAGCGGGTCATGGCACGGATGTGGGGTGTGAAGGACAGTTGAGGGTCAAACAGGACCCCAAGGTTCCGTATTGGCTCTGTGAGGTGCAGAGGGCATCCATGTCAGCCCGAGATATGGAAGCACTGCCTGGAGAGAAGCAGTAGGCCCTCGGTCTTGAATCAACAACAACTTGCACTTTTTAGTGTCCTCCACACAGGGTAATGCCTCATAGTGCTTAACAGTGGCGGAGCTTGACTCCGAGCCGGGGGCTGGGGGCGAAGGTGATCATAAGCACGATCGAAAAGGAAGATTTTCAGAGGGGACTTGAAAAAAAGGGAGTGAGGAGGCAAGGCGGAGGGCTGAGGCAGAGTGTTCAACAGTTTTGGGGAATAGTGGTTAAAAGCACGACCTCCAATTGTGGAGCGGAGGGTCGAGGGTAAAGCAGGAGGCTGGTTCCAGTCAACCGGAGGCACTGGGTGGTGGATTGGGGAGTGAAGAGGTCAGAGAGGTAGGGAGATGCCATGGAATGAATGGATTTGAACATGAGTGAGGATCTTGAAGTCGATCCATTCGGTGATGGGAGCCAGTGGAGCCTGGCCAGAACTGGTGAGATGTGGGTAGAGTTTGGTCTGGGTAAGTATTCAAGTGGCAGAGTTTTGAATGAGCTGGATTTTTTTGAATAGTGGAGCTGGGGAGACCAGCGAGAAGTGCGTTTGAGTAATCCATGTGGAAGGTGACAAATGCATGCACAAGGGTTTTGGCTGCTTTTTGGGTAAGGTACGGTCGGAGTGGGGCAATTTGGTGGAGGTGAAGGAAGGCGGTCCTGGTCAGGGACCTGATGTGGGGAGAAAGGACAGCTGGGGGTTGAACCGGATGCCTAGATTGCGCACTGGTTTGGTGAGTCTGAGAGAGAGCCCAGGGAGGTTGAGGAGTTCAGATCTGCAGGAGTGAAGATGTTGATGGGAGCCAAAGAGTATGGCTTCCGTCTTGTCCACATTCAACTGCAGGAAGCTTGACCTCATCCAGGCTCTGATGTCTGCCAGACAAGCTGATAAAACATCGGCAGACCTGGAGTTGATGCTGGAGGAGGCAAAGTAGATTTGTGTGTCACCAAATACAATTGCAAGTTTACTCTGTGTCTGCGGATGATCTCGCCAAGAGGGAGCATATAGATGAGGAAAAGAAGAGGGCCAAGGATGGGGCCCTGGGATACCCCACGGATGACCAGGTAGGGGCAGAAGGAGAAACCATTTTCCAAGATGAAGTGGAGGTGGTTGGTTAAGTAGGACTCGACATTGAATTCACTGTTTGGCAAGCTTTCCCACTGCTTATCCAGCTAGGACCAGCCTACCCATTAGGGTTTGGTTTCCAGGATTAACAGGAGCTGTTGGGCAGAATGCCTATCCCCAGTGATTGATCTACTCTTCCAAATCCTGCAGATGAGCCAGGTTGGCTGAGCACTGTCCTGGAGTACTGTTGACTCACCTGTCTCAGGAACTGAACAACTTAGACTACCACAGAGGGTTGGCTCGATTCTGATATTCTATTGCGAAATATGTCACCTTGGAGCCAGTTTAGCTCCCACGCGATATGTTTGACAACATAAAACATGTGGCCTTGTTGGTCTTTGATATCCAACAAGCGCCGATTTGAGCCCTCACTAGGGATGGCAGGTACTAAGAATTCCCTATGAGCTTCCTGGTGGGTAAAACAGCTCAGCACAAATTGAGTGAGAGCAGTGCCACCATCTTCCTACTTACAGCTCGGACATACATCCATTTCTATTGAGCGATGGTTCCACCAGTTGGAGGTGTGGAGCTTGAGCAGCAGTTTGCAAACCAATCAAGGTGGACTCCAAGCGCTGGTTGTACAGATGCGAGTTCATGAATTCAGATTCCAGGTCGCGCCTTTCAGCATCTGTCGCCTTAAGCCTCATAGTTTCCTCATTAGCTAACTTGTGGGACTCTGGTGTGCGCAATTGGCTGCCGCGTTTTGCCCACAAAATATACAGTCAATTGACTTCACAGTATATTCTGTGAAGCGCTTTGAGACGTCTCGAAGCTGCGATAAGGCACTATATTAAATGCAAGGATTATTATTATTGAGATGTGGCTGAAGCATTTGGTAAAGCAATTTCTGGTCAAATTTCTTCCATTATCCATGAAACTCAGATTTAGTGCTAAATGTTAAAATGTTTTCAGTACCACTGCTAACTTTTCTTCTCTTTCTCTCAATTCTATTACTTTGCTCAGTTTAAGAGGCAACTCTGCGAGTATTAGAACAAAACTTTAAAATATAACAATGATATCTCACGATTTCTACTAATCATATTATTGTGGAACATAAATCTAAAGACAACCTAATAGTTGAATGATATTCAGATTAATCTTTATTGACTTTACTAGCTTATAGGGCAAGACCAGTAGTATGGCGGAAAACATGTCCAGCACAAACAACTCTGTGGAGCCCCTGTTCGAAGTCCTGTGGCATGGGAATATCAGTCAGAGCATCGAATGACAACAGCCAGTGTGAATTTAGGAGAGAAAATAGACTCTGCTTTATTCGACCTTGTGACACAGGTGGATTGAAAAACCCGAAGGTAATAGCAACAGAAACAATCTCTCAGACTGGCAAAATGCTTTTCCGGGATATTAAATGTTCATTCCTAGGGCTGAGAAGAGAAAAAGCTAATGATCTTGGTGTGATGATCTGTTGTTCTTTATGAAACATCTTAATGAATCATACCTTCAAATAATCACTTTTCAGAAAAAGATTTTTCTTTATAGGGGAGACTGCACAGATACAACCCTTTCTGTTTGAGCAAACCAATCTCTTTAAAAAGGCTCTTCACTCATATATCTACAAGCATTTTAGTTTAACAGATTGTCGCATCATGCCAACATATTTGAATATGGTACCATTGTAATGAAAGCAAAGCATAATTCTTATGGCTCTTCTTCCCATAAATAAAAGATTAGCCAAAAATATTTTTCATGCAACAGTGGCCCTAACGTTTCCACCTATATGTAGCAGAAAGGTTTAATCAGTGTTCAAGTTGCCTGCTGAGACCTTACTCATGGAGTCTTGTAGCTCAGTGGTTGGAGCACTTGCCTCGCAAGTGAGAGACCCGGGTTCAATTCCCGGCAGGGCGAAACCTTGGGCAAGTTTTCTGACTCCACACACCTGATAATAATCCTTCAAGAAAAAAAACAATTAATAAATTAGTCACTTCAATCCCTGACTATGTGTGGGGCACTGCTTTGCGCAATTGGCTACTTGGAGTCCTGTAGCTCAGTAGTTAGAGCACTTGCTTTGCAAGCGAGAGACCTGGGTTCAATTCCAGGCAGGGTGAAACCTTGGGCAAGTTTTCTTACTCCACACACCTAATAATAATCCCTCCAAAACAAAAAACAATAATAAATTGGTCATTTTCAATGTACGACTGTTTGTGGGACATTGCTGTGCGCAATTGGCTGCCGCGTTCGCCCACAAATATACAGTCAATTCACTTTACAGTGTGTTCTGTGAAGCGCTTTGGGACGTCCTCCCGATGTGAAAAGCGCTATATCAAATCAAGGATTATTGTTGCTATTATTATTTACTACATTTCACACACAAATATACAGTCAATTCACTTTACAATATATTCTGTGAAACGCTTTGAGATGCCTAGAAGACGTGAAAAGCATTAAATCAAATACAAGGATTATTATTATTATTAATTATAATAATAAGTCAGAGAGGATCGATTTCAAGATCCTTATCCTTGTCTTCAAATCCCTCCACTCCTCTGCACCTCCCTATCTTACCCTCCTTTCTCCTCAAAACAGTGCCCGTTGCCTTTGCTCCACCGGTCTGTCCTCCTCCTTGTCCCCTGAATACTCCGCCGCATCACCGGCGGCCGTGCCTTCAGCCACTACGCCCCGAGGCTCTGGAACTCCCTTCCTCACTCCCTTCGTCTCACCCCCTCTCTTCCTATTTTCAGGTCTCGGCTGAGGACCTTTCTTTTCGACCACACCTTTGGTCACCTTCCTCCCCCTCCCCCTGGCTCGGTCCCAGGATCCGTTACTGTGAAGCGCTCTGAGACGCAGTCTGGCATGGAGGGCGCTATATAAATCCAAGTTGTTATTATTATTACTCGGCTGGAAAAGATAATAATAATAATCCTTGCAATTGATATAGTGCCATATCTCGACTTCAAGATGTCTCAAAGCGCTTCACAGAATATACTGTAAAGTGGATTGATTGTACATTTTGTGGGTGAAACGCGACAATCAATTACACACAGCAGTATCCTACAAACAGTCATGGATAAGTAAATGAGGGTTGGGGTTAGGATTAGAAGAAAGAAAATCAAAAGGCAGCGGGAGAGAAATAATGGTGAGAAATAATCAGTCTCCTCTCAGCTAATGGGAAATTCTATAACGATAGCAATATAGTGGTCTATATTTCAGCCTCTTCTAAATAAAATAAGCATCATGGTATTTTGTGTTCCAGCAGCTAGAATTCAAAGCTAAAAATCTGCTTGATAACCTTCAATGCAATTTTATACTGAAGGGCAGACAAGAGAAACAATTCTACAGGAGTCAGTGTCCTCAGGACCAACCAGACATAATATCAAAAGAAACACATATACTCTACCTGATGATAAGCATCTTCAGTGGTGATAAATGCATTAAATCCTGCAAATTTCTTCCCATTGTTCCATCAAGAACCATTCATTTTTCTTGTTTCATTTACAGAAAGGTAAGAAGTGCCAGCAGACATTCCGGCCAACTAAACCAGAGAAATTTGCCTTCTCTGGCTGTACAAGTATAAAAAGTTACAGGCCCACGTATTGTGGCGCATGCATGGATGCACGCTGTTGTGTGCCCAACAAATCAAAAACTGGGAGAATACAATTTAACTGCACCGATGGGGGGAAAGCCACATGGAAGATGACGTGGATCATATCTTGTGAGTGTGGACATAACTGCACTAATCCAGAGGACCCATTCACAGAGCTGAGATTACTCTAGTCAAATGCATTGTTTATTACTTGACTACTCAGTTCCTAAGTGGTGAGGAAAAAAATCTGATCGAAGGTACTTTATTTCCTCTTGGAGGAACATGGTGCTTGCTCAAATCATTTGCATTTTTAATGCAGACTTGCATTAACCTATGGAAACATATTTCCTAATGCTCTACATCTGCAAATAGATTGGGAATGTTCACCAGTACAGCGTTTCCCACTGGATTCCATAACTTCTTAATCATGTTGTCACTTTCATTTGTTTATATAAATGTAACCTATTTATTTGCATGGTTTACAACTATAATGAATTTCTTCACACTTCTGCTCCACATTGCATTTCTGTAGTTTTGCACATTGCATTTCAATTGTCTGTTGAATAAATCAATCCCAATAAAGAAGGCTAAAGCAATAATAATCATCCTCTCTTTTATATTTTTAAAATGTAACCATTTTAAAGAAAGGATAATACCTCTTCCTTTCAAATTAATCAGATCCCATCTGCCAGTTCTTGTGGGCGTTAAAGATTCCATGGTACTGTTCGAAAAGAGTGATTCCTCCTCGGGATCTGGTCAAATCTCCCAAATAAAATTGTTCATTCATTTTATGGCTATTTGTGGGATATTGCTATGTGCAAATTGACTGCTATGGCCGCCTATAAATATGTAGTCACTACCCTTTAGATTAAATCCTTTGGAGCACTTTGAGACATTAACGGTGACTATATTAAATGCAATGATTATATTATCTATGTCTAATTTCCAAGAACTATTTTACTGCAGGTTTGATTTTTTAAAGATTAGTCTATGTAGAATTATAACCAGTTTCAGACACAAGCTGTGCATGAGGAGGTAGAAATGTTTATTGCTCTACAAACTCCTTTTATAACAGAAATCAGAGCAGATAGAGTTGATTTGTAGGGGCAAAGGAAAAGAACCCATTATTTTAAAATGGTTTTGTTCAGAAAACTTGTGCAGAGGATTGGTCACTCTGTCCTGTATAACAATAAGCAATATAATAATAATAATAATCCTTGCATTTGATATAGCGCTTTTCACGTCTTCTAGACGTCTCAAAGCGCTTCACAGAATATACTGTAAAGTGAATTGACTGTATATTTGTGGGCGAACAATATAGTCCTTTAGTTCATCATGTGGCTGATGCTGGATGGACAGTCAGCTCCAGATATCACAACTGGAATGTCTTGGACAAAAAATATAGCTTGTGGTTTATAAATAGGATTAACTTTGAGTTAGAAATAAAATATTTTTGAACCAAATCCTATAGCTTTACTCTAAAAAACACCATCATATTTCGAACAATTGCACCCTAAGAAAAATGAATTAACTACATTGTTACAAACTTGTTCAAAATGATTCTATTATTGCGAGAATGGCAAATTACAGAAAGGATAATAATAATCCTTGCATTTAATATAGCTATTTTCATGTTGTCTAGATGTCACAAAGTGCTTCACAGAATATACTGTAAAATGAGTTAACTGTATATTTGTGGGCGAAATGCGCCAGCCAATTGCGCACAGCAGTATCCCACGAACAGACCAATTTTATTATTTTTTTTCCCGAGCGATTATTATCAGGCGTGTGGAGCAAGGAAACTTGCCCAAGGTTTCACCCTGCCGTGAATCGAACTAGGAATCAGTGTCACCAATTTATTATTTTTTTTGAAGGAATTATTATCCCTGGAAAAACGATCCGCCAATTGACTAACAATTGGGTTCCTACTTGGCTATACAGAGGCATGTGGAGTAAGGAAACTTGCCCAACATTTCACCCTGCTGGGAATCAAATCCAGGTCTCTCGCTTGCGAGGCGAGTGCTCGAACCACTGAGCTACAGGACTCCTTTTGTAGTAGAATGTATAGAATGTATTAGAATTTCAACTATTTTAGCAATATTGTATATATAACCCGTTATACTTTAGGACTGCTTATAAGACTACTTATAAGGGCTGCTGATCAATACATGCAGCCAGCTTCATGTGCAGGAAGCAACAATGCAAAACCTAACCTACTAGCATAAGGTTATGTTTTGTGAGACCCACATCGCTTCTGCGCATATGAAGCAATGCTGGAAATGATCTGACCACTTTGAAGTTAGCCTGTTTTTAAGCTGTGTGTGCACTGGCACACCTGTCATGTGATCAATCTTGTCATAATACAACACAAAATTACATTTGTATAGTGCCTTTCACGTCGTGAGGACGTCCCAAGTCCTAATGCAGAAGTACCAAGTGTCAATCGTGTTCTGTTAGATCTTTGGTTCGGATTTTATGCCAGACTTAAACTATCATGTTATAATAGGATCTATACACACACACAAACAAACAGTACATGAAAATAATTTTATGATGTGCATATCTAAATTACATTCAATAAGTATTTAAGAATCAGTATTTATACAAATATATAAATTAATACAGTATTTCCAAGTTGTGGAATAAATTTATCTTTGGTATTTCACATGTTGTTTAACACAAAACATTCCCTTCCTCTTTCAAAGACACTGACCCACTAAGTACAGTTCCTCAAGCCCTTTGGCACCTCTCCTATGTGTGAGCCTACAGGGTGAGTACAGTAAGTCTGTGAAAGGGAGAGGCATCACAGCCAAGCATAATACTTTCCTCAAACTGTAGTAGGAGACACTAGATAGTAATAATGAGAACCCTGCTTGTTTTTTTTCTTTTCAGACCCAGGAACTCTCTTACATAATTTACTGTACCCAACCTGCCTGTGACCATCTAATGTGAAGCTGACAAAGCCTTTAGAGAACTTATTTTTCAAAAAAAGGAACATAAAAATCACTAATATTTTGTTGTTGATATGAACGAACATGTAAACAAAATTAAAGAGAGATTAAAACCAACCACTTGTTTGTAACCAAATAGTGCTTCAATTTCATAGGACTACCACTAAGGGATTTAGAAGAGCCTAACTAATGGTTATCCAAATGTTTCATACCCTGAAGTGCCACTAAAATCCTATGCAAGACATTGAAATCATATCAATTCAGAATGCTACCTATTTGATAACTGGGACATATCTTGTGTATATTAATCCATTGCAAGTACACATCTTCCCCATTTTCCTGGCTGGCAAAAATTAACTAGTAATAAGTTAATAGTAATCTAACAATTATAATTCTTCTAATCCTTTCATTTGATACAGCGCCTTATCACGTCATTGAGACGTCTCAAAGAGCTCCACAGAATATACTGCAAAGTGAATGGACTGTTTGTGGGCGAAACTTGGCATCCAATTGCGCACAGCAGTGTCCCAATATAAGACTATGGTAATGTGAGATAATAGTAATACAAAAATTAAACGTTTTGCTTTCACCGCATTATACAGTCTTTAACTCACAAAATACACAGTCACTCCACTTTGTAAGTGAAATGCTTTGAGATATCTTAATGACATGATAATGCTCCATACTAAATGAAAGAATTATTACAACTTTTTACATTGCAATGGAAAGGCGGGTTGCATCTGAAACCGGCAATCCTTTAGTAGCATCCAAACGGTTGTACTCCTCTATCAGAGATGACAAAGATGTGATAGCTTCTGTGAAACAACTCTGCTCCATTCCATCCACATGAAGGTAATGGTGGAGGTGAGCCTGCAATTATACAATCAGTTTCTCATAGTTAAATAGTTTTCGAACTAAAATTAATACATAGTCAAAATGGATTGATTGTGTACTATTTAGTCATTTATGGCAAGATTCATGAAGAAAATAAATCTGATTAAGCTATATAAAATAAATGCTTTTTGGTTTAATTAGATCTCCTATAAACAATGCAAAAATATCATTCTTAAAACACTGCTCGCTCCCCCTACTCCCCCCATTGATCTCATTTTTGGATATTCTACTTTTTTAAAAAAAATATCCTCGAAGCTGGAAATATTTGAAAAGGAAAAACTATAAATGGAATATAGGGAAAAGAGAGGGAGTGGGACTAAATTGATAGTTCTTTTTGAGAGCCAGTTCAGGCATGAGTGAGATCAGAAAACATTTTTACACACAGCTGTGAATGCACTACCCCAGAAAGCTGCAGAGACAGATCAATTGGGATGTTTGAAAGGAATTAAGAAACTTGGACAGTAAGGGTATTTGTGTGTTTGCAGAAAAGGCATGGAAATGAGATTAGAAGATTGTTCATGATCTAATGTACTGGTGGAATGGCTTCTTAAGTTGAATAACCTCGTATGTCCTACCCTCAGAAGAAAGTGCAGAAAGAATGATTGGTATGGAAAATATTTTTAAGAAAATAGTTGGTGAACAATTAACAAAAACTTGCATTTATTAACACCATCACGAGTTAAACTAAATACTGATCCAACCATAAATGTTGATTATCCCCCCAATGCGGCTCTGTGATTTGGAGATAGCCTCGATGGAGGGAAATACGGTCGGCAACCCAAGATGAAGTAGTACTGCCTGGAGATGAGCAGGATAGCCTCAGTTTTGTTGGCACTGAGTTTCATGAAGTTATAGTTCATTCAGGACTTGTAAAAAACGATCTCTTACACAACACTAACACAAAGCAAAATTTACCTTTTTCTTGTAAAGCTTGACAAATCGATCCTTTAGATCTTGGAAGGTAGATTTAACACACGTATTATTGGCAAGTGCGAGTAAGGAGTGAGTGTGGCCCACTGGAGGTACTGAACAGAGGCTTGTTTTCCAACCTTCCTGGTTCCAAGAGACAAACTGGAGAGTGGGTTTCAGCCTGTAGTAAAATACATACCACTCATTCACAAAACTAACACATTTATGATTGCATTTTTATTCAAATCTATTGGCACTATTAAGCAAAAAGCAACTGGTAGAAAATTACTAAATTTAAAGACTTTGATTAATATCAAATAAAATTTTCACACAAAAAAATCATTTAGTTTTAATAAAATTATGCTATGTTGTACGCTGTCTGCATTTAGTATAGAATTACAGTACTGTTGGTGAGTTATACATGCAGAAACCCATCACCATGCTTAAAGAGTATCCAAACCAAACAAATTTCCATGCAAGCCATCTACACCTGGAAATAACCATGTATTGGAGTACTGCGGAACCAGAGTAGTGAGACCACCACAGAGGTTGACTCAATTCCGACATTCTCCTTCCCCGCTCCCCCCTTCCGGAGGTCAGTTTATTATAGAACATGTTAAACGGCTGTTTGTTTAGCACCATGTCTTTCCCCCAATTCCATTCAAACCTCTCAATGTTTCTTCTGAGATCAGAAATCTGGACATTCCCCCGGACCATCAGTGCACAGGCAAGGTACAGGTTACGTTTCGGATCTGCATGCATCAATTGATGATCCTTGCTAAAAGCATCAGAGAACATCTGATCCAGCCTGTGCAACAGAATAGATGAACCAATAAAAGGATCTTCGAATACTTGTTAAAACAGACAAGATTCAAAACACTAATAAAAATTCATCATAACCCCTTCTCTCCCAAATTATAAACATACATTGAAAGTAAAAACTATATCAATTTTTAAATTATAGCCAATATAGTTTAAAGTTATAAATAACATTGATACAACTAGGTCTTACATTGACCATCCCAGGTTAAGCACATTGTCTCAAGACATTTCGAATAAGGTGAGTTTAATTTTAATAATGAGATTAATAGATCTGCCATGGATGATCTAACAAATTGGTGGAACAGACTAAATGATATATAGAAATAATAATCCTTGCATTTGATATTGTGCTTTATCATGTCTTCGAGACATCTCAAACCGTTTCATGGAATATCCTGTAAAGTCAATTGATTGTATATTTTGTGGGTGAAACTTTGCCAAATTTCATGGGTTTTTTGCAGAATGAAGCAAGTGTGAGCAATTATTACAAGTGGTTATGCTGTAAAATGACATGCACAACATAAGTTATCTGGGGTGATATTATTTTTAACAGTTCTTTGCTTGCTAAGATGGGACAATAAGCAACTGAAGCACAGGCTGTGTTTGGAGACCAGTTTGTCCCTCCAGAAATAAAGCTGAAATGATCCTGTTCCATGAAAATCTTTGGAAATCTATAATGAAGACTCATCTTTCACTCAGTTGCTCCACAAAGATGGACCAATGAAACTCTATTCATGGTTCAGTGGGTAAATGCCCATCTCAGTATGTTTTTGAGCCTCATAGATCAGATCAGCTGTTTGTACCTTGGTCTCTACTAAGTACAGCAGTTACAGCTATAACTTCCCAGGCTAAAGAGGAGCAAAGCATACCTCCAACTGAATGCACTCAATAATATCAATATTCAGCCCAGTTTAATACAAGTTAGTATTCTGCAACAGTACAGATGATTTGTTAAATAAATGTATGAAACTCTTACCTTCTTGTAGGGATGTTTACATCAGCCAGGGTGTACAAAGGAGTTAGACTAGGAACAAGGTAATGGAGCTGTGGAAATGGAACTAAGTTCATGGAGATCTCATTAAGATCCATGTTGAGGGATCCTTCAAACCTGGCTGAACTGCAATGAGAACACAGGAAATACTCTAAATAATTCAGGAATATAAAAACACAAATGTACTCATACTTGTGCCGTTTGAATATTTGCAGAAAAAAATACTTGAATCAGTTCCAAAAATGTCTGTGATACACCAGCAAACCTACAGTGCTATACAGTGCAGCCCATTATAACACTTCATGCTAGCGCAAATTCATATTTAATGCGGTTACACTGTAGACCCCGTTTATTGCACAATCGCACAGTTTGTCGGCTATTCGTGCTCAAATGGTCAATTGGCAGTTTATTAGGTCACCCTTGACCTCATTTTGCGCTTTGCTCCGGGTATTAGGTTCCAACATTTCATTGCAGAAATTGTCACCCACCTTGTTAAATTGAGCAGTAAGTTAGCTACAATGTTATTCATAGCATCAAATGGCTTTTCTTGTCCTTTGGCTTCCTTTTGACCAGAGATCAGCGTATATGGTTTTATTGCAGCTCCTAATTTACCAGAATTTGTCATTTGATTGATTTTGTTGACAATATCAACCAAAGACTTGTTTGGAGTGAAGAGAAAAATATATGATTTAACAAATATGTAAAGTATTCAAATCTTAATAGTTAATTTAAAATCCAAAACATATACCTGATGAAATCTAATCATAAGACTTTAACAACTTTTTTTTTAAGTCTCTTCATCAATCATATAATCGTCTAAGTCGTACATGCACCTGAGTCCCATTCAGTTTCCTAGCAAAAACACTTAGATTTCTTTGAACTAGTCATAATTTACAAGTCGGAAAAAAAGCTAAGTCATAACAGTTTCTTGGTCCCAAATGATCATAATGCAAATTATCAGTACTTGATGGAATTATGTTCAATTAGAGTAAAACATTAATTCCAAATAGAGTTTTGTAAGACCTACCTGGTTTTCAATGGGCAGAACACAGTCTGCATGTTCAGTCAGCTCTCTCATGGCAAGAATACTGTTATAAGGAGAGGTGATAACATCATCTTCAGCTGAGGGGTAGACAGATGTAACAAACCTATAGACATCTGGGAATTCATCCTCCATCAGGTTCAACACATAGGTACCCAGACCAGATCCAGTCCCTGAAAATAATTTCAATTGTCTTGAGAGATTACTCGCTAATATAAACTGAAACAAAAAGATGTCTCAATTTTATTAGGCCTATAATTTCAATATACCCATGACCGAAATACAAACAGTAATACTTGAAATACAATGCAGAGGTCTGAAAAATTCCATCTCGTCTTAGCTTCTAAGACTATTTTGTCTTTAAATTTACGATTGCACAGAATTGTGAAAAATTCTTATATTCAATCTGAATTTGGAAAGCATTTTTTTTTCAGAGCGGCAGGAAACCAGCCTGGCTCAGTTGGTAGCACTCTCACCTCTGAGTCAGAAGCTTGTGGGTTCAAGCTGCAAGTCAGGACTTTGAGCTCACAGTCTAGAGTCCAGACCAACACTCCAAGCAGTGGGTAAACTGCATTGACAGAGATGTCGTACTTTGGATGAGTCGTTAAACTGAAATCACACCTACTTGTTCAGGTGCACATTGAAGATCCCATGGAACTATTCCAAAAGGGAAGGGAGTTTCTCCCGGTATACTGGCCAACAATATCGCAAATATAAAATTGGTAACTTACTTCATGGCTGTTTGTAGGTCATAGCTGTGTTCAAGCTGGCTGTCATGTTTGCCTAAAAAATACTTAGTTACCACATTTCATAGTAAAATCCTGTGAAGTGCTTTGAGATGACTCAGACATGATAAGGCATTATATGATCAATATCATTATTATCATTCTTATTTCCATTATTAATACTGTTACTATTAGCATCATCATTATTCCAAATTAAGACTGAATTGAGAATTTTCTGGGCTTCAGAGATCCTTATTGATTTACCTGTTCCAGATGTCAGATAGATCGTTTTCTTATGCACCATGTTTTTAAGTAACTTCAGACCAATAAAATATGGAACTGTGGTAATAACTCAATAAGCAACACTAATAATCTTTGCATTTGACATAGCACTTTTCATGGAAGGATGAATCAAAGCACGGGATTCACTGTAAAATGTAGTGATTGCATATTTTGCAGGCAAGCGTATGACGAACTAGCAAACGACTTTGTGAGCAATATATTTCTTACCTCCACCCATTGAGTGTATTAGGAAAAAACACTGCAGACAGTCACAGTGCTCAGCTGCTCTCCGAAGGTTTTCCAGAATTTGTTCCCGGTACTGAAATCCATAACTTTTATATCCCACTGCCCTGTTTAAGTAAACAGGTTTCAGAATATTTTCAGACATCAATATCAATGTATAGTATTTATACCTTTATTTGATTTCATCTAAGATTTCCACAAAGTTAAAATAACTTAGTTAAATCTTTAACAACTTAGTTAAAGCGTTGACATAGTTAAATCTTCTTATGATGCAACCCAATTGTCCTTATTAATAGTAGGATCCAGTCATTGTGAAGTTTTTAGTGAATGCCCAGTTATCATTCACTAGAAAAAGGATGCATGTTCCTAAGTTGCCGCTAAATAATAGCTTTAAACCATAAGAAAGGATAAAAAATAATGTTTTAAATGCATTTAGATCATGGAACAATTCAGTGAAGAACAGTCCTCTTTAAAAGCCTGATCTAAGCAAATGTTGCCAAGCTTCCTCTAACAATTTTAATCCAGGGTTACATGCAAGTCTATAATTGTCGAGAGCATTTAGATCATGGGACAATTTAAGGCAACACAGAACACTTTTCAAAACTTTACAGGAAAATTTATACATTATAATTAGGCTTGAGGAGATTCAATAAAAATCAGTAATATTCAATATTCATTGATTTTAATTACTTTATGCCCTGGCACCTCTCTATCACTCTGACCTGCTTACACTCTATTCCACTACCTGCCACCTTTGCTCAGCTATCTCCGGCTCCCTGCATGTCCCCTGTCCCCTCCATTACACCATCGGCGGCTGTGCCTCGAAACTATGGAACACTCTCCCTCAATCCCTCCTCCTCCTTCCCAGTCTTCAGATCCCAACTAAAGACATTCCACAGAGCCTAGCACATACTTGTAGTAAAAGTGATACACCTGAAAAAGCAAGCAGGACCTTGGTTTAACACCTCATTTGAAGGACGGCACCTCCAACAATGCAATACACCCTCAGCACAGCACTGCGTGAGTTCCAAATCTTGACGTGGGGACTAAACGTTCTGACTCAGAGGTGAGAGTGACAGTTACTCAAACACTAAGGCAGCAGATTGTCAACAATGATAAAGTTCTGTATCAAATACAAGGAATGTTATTGTCAATCTGTCTCTGATTTGTGTTCTCCAAGTGCAAAAATAAATCCTTTTTATTGTTTAAAAATTGGATATTATCTGACAACATTTAAAAAAAATCGATTTCCATCAGCCTCAATTAAAAAGAAACTTGAATAATAATAATAATAATAATCCTTGCATTTGATATAGCGCTTTTCACGTCGGGAGGACGTCCCAAAGCGCTTCACAGAACACACTGTAAAGTGAATTGACTGTATATTTGTGGGCGAACGCGGCAGCCAATTGCGCACAGCAATGTCCCACAAACAGTCGTAGATTGAAAATGACCAATTTTATTTTTGTTTTTGGTTTTTGGAGGGATTATTATTAGGCGTGTGGAGTAAGGAAACTTGCCCAAGGTTTCGCCCTGACCTGCCTGGAATTGAACTCAGGTCTCTCACTTGCAAAGCGAGTGCTCTAACCACTGAGCTACAGGACTCCACTAAATACCCAAATAGTACCACTGGGTGGTGCTTAAGCAATTAAGAAGAGGATCATATGCTCAATTTCTACACAGTACAACCTCGTGGAAAGAACTGATTACTACAACTGAAAAATGAGCAATGTTACTACATACAGGTTGACCCAGTTATAAAATGCCCCACTATTCTCCCTGTCGTCAATGTGGAAGTATGTTACATATTGAACTATGAGCAAATATTAGACAAGGGCTCTTCAGTCTTGAGAGATGATGACTCAGATGCTGTTTGTGAGACACGGCAGTGTGCAAATGGGCTACCACACACCACGTGCCTACACATACACTGGACGCATTTTTGTAGATAAATGTGGCAGCTAATTTTGCGCACAAGCAGCCACGAAGTGAATGACCGTTTTTATTTGGCGGATTGTTGGCCAGGCCACTGTGAGAAATTCCCTTCTCTTTTCATATGTTACAATGGGATCTTTAATGTTAAACCTAAACAGGCAGTCGGGTCTCGGTTTAATGTCTCATCCAAAAATGACGTCTCTAACAATGCAGTGGATCCCCAGTATTGTTTTTGAGGTTCAACCTAGATTATGAATTCAAAGTCCCAATGTGGGGCTTGAACTCACATGATTCACCAGGGCTAAATAACTTGTTGATAATGTACCACCTTTAGGCTCCATATAAGGCTCAGTATTTAAAATTTTGAAGTGACAAGAAAAGGGTGGGGGAAAAGGTGGAGGAAAATCAAAATTAAAATGAGAATACTCTAGCATGGATTACATCATAATATTTTTGTGCTGTACAATCCCATTTCCATATTATGGCCATCTTTCATCAGACAACATAAAATTCATAAACAAAAGCTGATACTGGGATGATAACAAGGATGAGTGGTTTGGCCTATAAGCAAAGGCTGGAGGAAATGAGACTTTTCCACTGGAACAAAGAAGGTTGAGGGGTGTTAAAGGTCTTTTAATGTTATGAGAGGTTTTGACAGAACCAATACAGAGAAATTATTTCCACTGGTAGGTGAGTTATTGACTAGAGGTCAGCAACTTAAGATAGTTAGCAACGAGTAAATGGGGAAAGTTAGGAGACCTTTTTTTAAAAAACAAATAGAGTAGTTAGGATATGAAATGCCATGCTGGGAGTGGTGCTCGAGGAAGAATCCATATTAGCTTTTAAATGAGAACAAGATAAATTCCTAAAAAGGAATCAACTGCAGGGGGAACAACAGGTAAATGAGACTCAAAAGGATTGCTTTTAGAAGAGCCAGCAGACACTGAACAGTCTAAATGGCCTTCAAGAATTACATTTCTATAGTTCTAGCATTTATTGCCTCCTAAATACATTAAAATATTTTCTTTCTTACCAGTTGTTGCCAGACCCAGATACATCTGTAATTAGTTGTTTACTGTCAAACACATCTCTCAGAGGACCCTGTAGTAGCTCATTAACAACACCTTCTTCCATATCGATGAGTACAGCCTAGAAGCCAGAAATGTTTCCAGACAGCAATTAAGTTTAAAAGTAGTGACATTAAACTAAAATGACATTACATTGAAAAACATAATTGATAAAAGTTATATTTTTAACCCTAAAAAGTACTAATCTTGAACAGATATGTTGACTTCTTTCTTCAACTAGTTTTTAACACAAATCCAGTCAAGATTGTTTTTATATACCATGGTAGATTTAGCAATTAGAGAGCTCCATGATTTATTATGCATAAGGCTTTTTGCATTCAAGCATTTTAGAATAAACAAAAACTCCCAAAAAGGTATGTCTAACTTATGCTGTTACCTTTGTGATATTTAGATATAAGCAGGATCTGAATTCTAATTTTGTTTCCATTTGGACTATTAAATAATATGAGAATAACCTCTGCACTAGGAAAATAAGAATTCAACATTTCAGACACAAAGGAATCAATCTAATTGATTTCTTTGACAAACTACGCCCAGTCAAAAAGTAATAAAAACAGATACTGAAAATTGTGAATATATAGTTTTTAATGAGCTTTATAGCGACATGCAAAATTATTTGTGAGTACTTCATTTTCATTCAATTCATTAAATCATTTTGTTTGTGGTGGATATTTACCACAATTATTTTTACCGACAACTTAGCTTGCTATTATAATTGATACAGACTAATGTATTATAGTGGTGAATAATTTACCCGAGCTTTGAGAGATCGAATTTTTCCTTTTGGAAGATCCATACAATCCCCATCACTATACCTGTAAAACAAGCACAAATAATGTTTTGAAAAATTAGGTTGTCATTTATTGGATAATAAACATCTGCATAAAAGTTAAGTATAACATCAAGACTAAATATCTATTCTATTTCTTCTACCTCAAAAAGGTTTAATTTTTNATAACAACTTTTATTTATATAGCATCCTTCATATAGGATAATGTCCGAGAGTCCTGTACAGTGGCAGGATTGGATGCTGCGCAAGAGAGAAGGGGGAAATGACCATAGGCGGGGTCAAGAGGTAGACTTTTCAGATGGAATTTAAGTATAAAGAGGGAGCAAGTCAGAGAGACTGAGGAAGAGAATTCTTGAGATTAAGGGCTTAGTGGCTGAAGGCTCATGCTGGATGCTGGTGGATGTGGAGCTCTGGCCTGCATTGGCTGAGCGACGGGGGGGTGAAAAGGAATGGGTTACAAGCAGGTCAGAGGTAAGGAGGTGCTCTGGGATGCTACCCTGAGTGAGTGGCGCTATATAAATGCAAGTTGTTGTTGTGCTTGGACATGAAGGGATTTGTATTTGGAGGTGGGGATCTTGAAGTCAATCCATTCAAATCATTTGTAGGCAAACAATGAATAGATTGATAATCAGATTTACAGCTAAATTCTATTAAAGTTAGAATCAGTATCCATTTTTTAAACTACCCACCACCAAGGCAACACAATGTGTCAAATATTGCTCTATGTTTATGCTATTTGCTGTAGACTTTGCAATATTTTTAAATTCAACTCTATGAAAAATAATATTCCTCACCTTGTATCCACATTTCTAAAGAAGCTGCCGAGTGCTTCATCATAGATACCTTTCTAGAACCAAAAAAAATTATAAATTTAGTCAATACTTTTGAAAATGATTTCACAGCAATATCTAATGGCACATTAGAAAATCCAACCCACTCAAAATCCTGAAGATAATCCTACTAATGTGCTGGATCAGTCCTTTTAATAGGGATGAATGTACTGCTTGATTTGTTGAAAATCCTTTAAGTGAAACAAATACTGTATATAAGGGATGCGCAGCATTTAATTCAACTTGAAATGTCTTTTCTTATTAGAGAAACCTTGAATTTCCTCACTGAAGCAGAAACCCACTGAAAATGTACCAGGTTGGGTCTCAAACATTAAAAGAGAGACATTCAATTGAAGGACAATGCCAGCATTCAGCGACTCCATTCTGTCGGATGAACATCTTGGATGATGAACTTGGGTGACTGAGTCAAAAGTTGTGAAAAGAAGGGAAGTATTTTTGGCAATAAAAAACAAGCTCTTTAGAGCTTTGTTTAAATAATACAGGAAATGAAAACAATCTATTTAAGATCAGAGGAATAATAATGAAACTTAGCTACAGCAGCAAAAAACAAATCATTGAAAAATATATTAATTCTGGAAGCATGGAATCCTAAAGACTCACCTCAAACTACTTATGTTACTGTGAGAGTTCAGGATTGGATTAATTTACTTTAAAAGGAACATGACTTTAAAATAGAGGACTATGCTCAAGCATTATAATCAGTTATAGTCATCAACCTCTGATGCTTTTCTTTTAACTATACTGTAATAGTTCCTCTTCAGGAGCTTCTCCAACCTGGTTCCTGTAAAGTTACTTGCTCTGTTTCAAACAAATATATTGTGCACACACAAAAAGATACAGCAATGATAAGGTTAAAACAAGTTTAATATTTGTAACCAATTAAAAATGTATTAATGTTGATACTTTTTAAAGTCTTTCCTACTTTATTGCAATGTGATTATCCACACATTAATGTCAAATTCATTTTAAGGCATAAATATTGATGACTATTTACCTTATTCACACTTGCATGTTCCCGCAAAGCCAAATCCCAAAACCTGCAACCAACCTGATTACCACACTGTCCAACTGAAACAAAGATTAAAACATAAGGCTTCTAATGCAATCAGTGAAGGTGATTCATAATATAACACTGTCAACATTTCATTTCACTGAAGATCCTTGTAGACATTTATGGAGAGTAGGGTGGTAAGCTTGGAATTTTGTGCCACCAGTAATGCCTGCCATACAGTATATCTGAACCATAAGCCAGCCAAACCAAATTCAGATTTGGTTGGTTATATTGATAAGCTAATTTAAATGCATATATAATAATAATTCCTGCATTTGGTAGAGTGCCTATAGTATCAAGAGGTCTTAAAATGCTTCACAGATAATTGCATCAGTAAATGTACTGTGAATTCATAGGCAAATGCAGTAGCCAATTTGCACACAAAAACCCACAAACAGCCTTACAATGCCATCATAAAGTATTCATTTCTCAGCATTGTGCTAGTTCAAATACTGAACCTGACAGCACTATTTGAGTGCCAAGTAGTACTCTGGAGGTACAGTAACTGTAATTAACTGCTTTATTCTCAGCGCTGAATTTACACTGATGTGGCCATAAATGTAGCGTAAAACTCTTTTAGGAATATGCGCAAAATCTGCTTTACTCGAAACATTAAAACAAGTGCATTAGGATCTGGTACAGAGCAGAAATTCTCAGCACTATCTCATGAGAATTAACACGACAACAATTTTCACTTATATACCATCATTCACAGAGGGAAAGCATCTCAAAGCAAAGAGAAGCTTTTAGATGTGTTTTGAAAGCTGAAAGAGGCTACAAAGTGGATGCATTTGCAAAGACAGTTTCAGTGTCTGAAAGCTTGCCCACCGATGGTGGAGGAGAATTGGTGGAGTGGAGGGAGCGACCAGGGAAGGAGAGGGGTCTGGTGCAGGAGAGAATGCAAACACCAGAGTTCTGAATGGTCTGCAATGGGGCTGTAGAGGCCAAGGAGCAGAGAATGGGAAAAGTCAAATCTGAAGTGACAATGACATGGATCAGGGTTTCAACTGCATGGGATGGGCTTGAGGTTGTGGCAGAGGCACGTGATGTTGAAGAGATGGAGGAAAGCAGATTTAGTCTGAGGCTGGATGAAAGGTTTAAAGGAATAATACTCCATAAATTTGAGTCAGCAACTGAAGAGGTTGATATGGTGAGTGTCCTAAGTGAGGGGGCACTGATGGAAGCCAAGCCGAGTAGCCTTGGTTTTGTTGATACTGAGTTGGAGAAAATTCAGTCTTATCCAAGACTTGAAGTCTGATAGGCAGTTATAATCATCTATACACTTGATATTCAACTTCCATATCGGGAGAACAAAGTACTTCACAGGTGTAAAGTATAATGACCGTGTACTCTGTAGGCAAATATGGCAGCCAATTTGCACCACAATATCTGCAATGTCCCACAAACAGCCACGAACTGAGTGGCTAATTTTATCTGGGGGACTGTTGGCCAGGAGGGATTTTAACATCCGCCTGAAAAAGCATTTGAGACCTTGGTTAAACACCCTCATCCAAAGGACGGCACCTCCAACAGTACAGTGCGTCCCCACTGCATGTTGTGTCAAGCCTAAAATATGTGAATTCAAAGTTCCGACATAGGGTTTGAACCCACAATCTTTGACTCAGAAGCGAGAGTGCTACCAACTGAGATGACATCTGACACATTTCCACAATTCACTGAAACTTCTGGTACTAAAATACTTAAATGTTCTTACCTTGTACAACTATTGACTGTGTCATATTAACCCGAGGACTGTTCAGCTTTCACGTTCTTGCTCTACCATTCGCCCTCTCACCTCAACCCACTCTGCCTCACTCTCTCATGTCTCTCTCTGGATGCTGCTACCCTATTGCGTTTCTCTCTGGTTACTATTTTCTGTCTCTCTCCAGTTTCCCTTTACTTCTCTGACTCAAGTTATTCTCTCTGTTTCTCTGTCTGTCTAGTTACTACCGCTCTCTGTCACTCTCTCCCTCGCTGTTACTCTGTGTTACTCTCTCTCTGTCTGTTACTCTCTGTTACTCTCTCTATGTGTTACTCTCTCTCGCTGTGTTACTCTCTGTCTCTCTGTTACTCTCTCTGTCTGTTACTCTTTCTCTCTGTCTGTTACTCTCTGTCTGTTACTCTCTCTGTCTGTTACTCTCTCTCTGTGTCTGTTACTCTCTCTGTGTCTGTTACTCTCTGTCTGTTACTCTCTCTCTGTGTCTGTTACTCTCTGTCTGTTACTCTCTCTCTAGCTTCTCTCTCTGTGTCTGTTACTCTCTCTGTGTCTGTTACTCTCTCTGTGTCTGTTACTCTCTCTCTGTTACTCTCTCTCTCTGTTACTCTGTGTCCGTTACTCTCTCTCTCTGTGTCTGTTACTCTTTCTGTGTCTGTTACTCTCTCTCTCTGTGTCTGTTACTCTCTCTGTCTCTTAATCTCTCTCTGTCTGTTACTCTCTCTCTGTTACTCTGTGTCTGTTGCTCTCTCTCTGTGTGTTACTTTCTCTGTGTCTGTTACTCTTTCTCTCTGTGTCTGTTACTCTCTCTCTGTGTCTGTTACTCTCTCTCTCTGTTACTCTCTCTGTGTCTGTTACTCTCTCTCTCTGTTACTCTCTCTGTGTGTCTGTTACTCTCTCTCTCTGTGTTACTCTCTCTGTGTGTCTGTTACTCTCTCTCTCTCTGTTACTCTCTCTCTCTGTTACTCTCTGTGTGTGTGTCTGTCACTGTGTCTCTTCCCGCGCCGTTTCCCCTAATCCGTCACTTGCGGATGACGTCACGTTGCCGTGGTAACAGGAACGCGGCCCTGCCCTCTGCTGCCAGCCCTGCCCTGCCCTCTGCTGCCAGCCCTGCCCTGCCCTCTGCTGCCAGCCCTGCCCTGCCCTCTGCTGCCAGCCCTGCCCTCTGCTGCCAACCCTGCCCTCTGCTGCCCTGCCCTCTGCTGTTCTGCCCTGCCCTCTGCTGCCAGCCCTGCCCTGCCCTGGTGTGCCGGCCCTACTGTGCTCTCAGCCGCTGGCGGCCAGTGCAGCAATGTCTACCCGCTCCAGTGACAGCTCTTTAATGTCAGTCCGCGACTCGTACATTATTGTATTGTGGCGATTTTGTTATCCGAGGAACTGAAGCGAGTGTTTCTGCTCCGGCCTGACCCGGGGGCCGGGGGTGGCCTGACCCGGGGGCCGGGGGTGGCCTGGCCCGGGGGCCGGGGGCGGCCTGACCCGGGGGCCGGGGGGTGGCCTGACCCGGGGGCCGGGGGTGGCCTGACCCGGGGGCCGGGGGTGGCCTGGCCCGGGGGCCGGGGGTGGCCTGGCCCGGGGGCCGGGGGCCGGGGGTGGCCTGGCCCGGGGGCCGGGGGTGGCCTGGCCCGGGGGCCGGGGGTGGCCTGGCCCGGGGGCCGGGGGTGGCCTGGCCCGGGGGCCGGGTCTGGGGTCTGGCCTGGGTGGGGGGCTGGGGTCTGGCCTGGCTGGGGGGCTGGGGTCTGGGGTCTGGCCTGGGTGGGGGGGCTGGGGTCTGGGGTCTGGCCTGGGTGGGGGGGCTGGGGCTGGGGGCTGGGGTCTGGCCTGGCCGGGGGGTTGGGGCTGGGGTCTGGCCTGGGTGGGGGGGGCTGGGGTCTGGCCTGGCTGGGCTGGGGTCTGGCCTGGTGGGGGGCTGGGGCTGGGGCTGGGGCTGGGGCTGGGGTCTGGCCTGGCTGGGGGGCTGGGGTCTGGCCTGGGTGGGGGGTTGGGGCTGGGGTCTGGCCTGGCTGGGGGCTGGGGCTGGGGCTGGGGCTGGGGTCTGGCCTGGCTGGGGGGCTGGGGCTGGGGTCTGGCCTGGCTGGGGGGCTGGGGGGGCTGGGGTCTGGCCTGGCTGGGGGGGCTGGGGCTGGGGCTGGCTGGCTGCTGGGTGGGGGGCTGGGGTCTGGCCTGGCTGGGGGGGGCTGGGGTCTGGCCTGGCTGGGGTGGCCTGGCTGGGGCTGGGTCTGGCCTGGCTGGGGTTCTGGCCTGGCTGGGGGGCTGGGGCTGGGGTCTGGCCTGGCCTGGGGGGTTGGGGCTGGGGTCTGGCCTGGCTGGGGGGCTGGGGTCTGGCCTGGCTGGGGGGCTGGGGCTGGGGGCTGGCCTGGCTGGGGGGTTGGGGCTGGGGTCTGGCCTGGCTGGGGGGGGGGCTGGGGTCTGGCCTGGCTGGGGGGCTGGGGCTGGGGTCTGGCCTGGCTGGGGGGTTGGGGCTGGGGTCTGGCCTGGCTGGGGGGCTGGGGCTGGGGTCTGGCCTGGCTGGGGGTCTGGCCTGGGTGGGGGCTGAGGTCTGGGGTCTGGCGGTGATGTTCTGTTTACATTTATTTTGTTCACATCCCACAGATGGCAGTGCGGGATTTCTGACCTCACGCTCTGTTTTGCCAACACGTATCGCAGGACAGGCTACAGGGGAGGCATTCGGGATTCCAGGATGGCGGACAGGTAAGTGGCAGCTTTTTAAAATGTGTGTGTATCATTTTTCTGGATTGAGCAATGCAAAGCCACGCGGTTTGGCTGAGGTTTCTGTTTGCTTCCATTGCTAGATGGTGGGGAGAATGGATTCAGCAGAATATTTCTGCTGCGAAAGCCAAGGTATGTCCTTGTTTTAAATTAGCTTTTCTGCTCATTCTTTTATCGAGGATGCTTATTTCAAGGCTCAAAGTGAAGTCTTATTTATAAATATATTATAAATATATATAAATATATAAATATATTATAAATATATATAAATATATAAATATATTATAAATATGTAAATAATTCTATTGAAATGTATTTCGGATATTGTTTGTGTTAATAATTCTAAAACTGTTCACCAAACTGCCTTTGTGCCGCACAGAAACGTGTTAATTCGCTTCATGAATAGATGTACAACATAACAAATGATGGTTTACAGACCGATTTTAGTTTATTTTTGTTCTGGTAAACTACCCCATCTTTTATACTCAATGTTATATTAGTGTACCTGTTTGAAACTCTTTCTCTAGTATACGCCATTGCTAAATCCGTTTTTAAATGACCATCAGCATATAACAATGCCTGGCCAAGCCTGGCTGCCTTTTTTTTGTATGTATTTCCACTAGGAGATTTGCATTTTTCTGCTGGGCACCAGGATCCTAGGTAGAGTTCTAAGAAATCCTGATGATTATATCTCCCGCATTGTCATCTGTAATATACCTCAGGGCTCTTTTCTCTGCCTGGCAACATGCTCATTCTTGGTGACATTATCCGCAGACATAGGGTTAACTTCTACATGTATGTGGCTAACACCCAAATCTGGTTTTCCTCTTGTCGTGATCCCAGGTCAACTGATGTCCCGTCAGACATCAAGACCAGGATGCCTTTTAATGGCAAGCTATGTAGTTTTAGCTGGTTCGAGTCAGCAGTATTCCAACGTATATTCTTGGTCCCCGAGCCTTGGCTCTTGCCAACTTGCTTCTAATACTGTCTGGAATTAGGTAAGCAGGATGTTTCCCTCCAGCATTCCATTTCAATAAACATCTCTGGAATTTCCATGAATACAACGACAACTTGCATTTATATAGCGCCCCTCATGCAGGGTAGTGTCCCAGAGCACTAGGTTGCATGGAATTCTGTTTGGTTTGGATGAGTTTCCGCATGTATTGAGACTAAAAACCTACCAACTAAAATAAAGACCAATTAATCTGGAGGTTGATAGCGAGGATATCGAGAGAAAGTCCATTCTCTTTTTGAGTAGTGTTATTGAGTTGTAATGTTCCCTTGAAGCCAAGCAATTGGAACCTCACTTTGCAGTACAGTAATTTTAATATGACCTTGATATCACTTTCTGCAATTCGGGGAAAAAGATTGACTTACATTACAGCACATCTCAGGGCTCCCTGAGCTTTGCCTCTGACAATTGAACATGTTTTAATGTTAAAGGTAGCAAGAATATTTCCTTATCCAAGGCACACATTTCCAATTAGATTTCTGAAAGCATACATTTCACCGGGCTGCAAATTATGTGAATATTTTTAATGCATGGCAATAATAAACTGGGTATTATGAAACAACTCAAGTGTCCTTTGGGGAAACAAAAAAAACATTCATTGTAAGCTAGCAGAATTGGTATATTTATTGCTGATTTGAGAATTGCTTTGATGTTGGCCCTCCCCATTCTTGTGCAAGTTGAATCACATGTCTCTCTAGACTAGATTAAAAAAGTAAATGGAATCAATGTTAAACTAAACAATGCACGTTACACAGTGGCCCATTGCACACATGCAGCAACGTGTATGGATGTCACTGTATTTATGATTGCATATATACACAGTAGGCATTAGCATTAGGTGCAAAGTATCATCTTGGACATGTACATTTTCTTGCATGCTTCACTTATGCTGGAGATTAAATAATGTACCATTTTATACTGATTCCACAATCTGCTATCGAATCCTACCTGAGTAATACAGTAGGTTTAATTCACTTTTTGGGCACCATAGAATCAGAAATTGCAGCATAGAACAAGGTCATTTGAGTCATTGAACCTATATTAGTGCTTGTTTCCCATTGGAGCTATCTACTCCGATTCCAATTTAGAGTCTTAGAATCACTGAAGGAGGCCATTCGGCCCATTGCGCCTATGTCAGCGCTTTAAAAGAGCTACCAACTAGTATCATGTCTGCAGTCTGTCTATGATTACAGTGGTGAGACATCACCTTGTTGACGAGTATCAACAAGATAATAATAATCCCTCCAAAAAAACCAAAAAACAATAATAAAAAAAAAATTGGGTCATTTTCAATCTACGACTGTTTGTGGGACATTGCTGTGCGCAATTGGCTGCCGCGTTCGCCCACAAATATACAGTCAATTCACTTTACAGTGTGTTCTGTGAAGCGCTTTGGGACGTCCTCCCGACGTGAAAAGCGCTATATCAAATGCAAGGATTATTATTATTATTATTATTATCACTCCCCAGCTTTTTAAGTATCCCTCTAATATTTATCCAATTTCCATTTAAATGTTGTTATGAACTGACAATCAAGTTAATTAGCTTCCTGCCGCTTGTCTAGCTCACCTTACTCACTACATAAGTGCAAAATTTGTTTGTGTATTTTCATGTCCAGGTTTAAGAGATGATCATGCAGTTTCAACTAAAGTATAGTGGCCAAGCAAAACTTGATAACAACAACTTGCAACTCCTTGTATGTTAATAACAGTGCAGAAAGTATACAAGTTGTACCTAGAATGTATGCTGTAACAAGCAGGTGCTGCAAGATCTGCCACACGTAACTTTATAATAATATAATAATGCCACGACTATATCTGTGCATTCGATGTAGCAGCTTATCAAACTTGTTGAGATGACTCAAAGTGCTTCACAGGATACATTGTAGAATGGATTGACTGTGTGTTTTTGAGGATGAAGCTTTCCATGGCAATGAACGAAATAATGTATTGATTCTGACTTGTAGGTAGCATTACAATTTCAGTAGTATGTCAAGTGTACATTCCAGAGAATATAATTGATACTCTGTATTGAAGCAACCGATATTTTTATTTATATGCAATTGGAATAACTCAATCTGTATTTTCATTGTCTGTGGATTTTATTTTTGTTTAAAACATTGCAGTCTGCAAAAGCTGTGGAATTTCTGAAGAGAGATCTGGTTGAATTCACTCAAGTTATCCAACATGATACAGCAACTACAATTGCTGCAACAGCCTCAGTAGTCAGAGAAAGATTATGTGTGAGTACTGCATCTGCAGTGTTACTATAATTCAGATCATGTGAAGGTTCTTGTCACCAATACTTAGTATTCTGTCTGTCTGCAAAAGAGCACAAATACTGTAGTGTTTTCAGGAACTGAAAGCAGGTAACAAAAAGATAACTGTTTCCCTGAATGGAACTCTTTTAATGTTACAGATTTGTCCCATTTACTTCTGGTCTCTGACTAACAGCAGTCATAACTCATTTTAGGGAAAATGGGGAGGGGGGGAGGGTAATCCTGTATCAGTAATTTAAATCATTTGGGTGCAATGGGTTTAGCAGTCCCCCAATCATGTACAACAATAACTTGCCCTTATATAGCGCTCTCAATGCAGGGTAGCGTCTCAGAGCGCTTAACAGTGGTGGAGCCTGACTCTGAGCCGTGGGGGAGGGGGCAGGTGGTCGTAAGGACGAACGAAGAGGAATTTGTATTTGTTCTCCAATTATCATGCAATGCAGGATTAATTCAATATGGAAAGCAAAGTAGCAAAACCTGAACTGAATACAAATATGACACATGAGGAAACCTTCAGGTTTCATGCTATTTTCCCAACAATTTATTGAAGCGCAAGAAGTAAATTGCTGTTAGGCTTCTTACATTCCCATAACCTGAAATAGCTACAAGTCAGTGTAATTTTACAAATTATATTGGAGCAAGAATTTTTTTTTACATGGGCAAAGGTACCTTTGACAATTTTCTTCTAGATTGAAGAGCCAATCGAAGGGAGCCAGAAGATCACAAAAGCGCTATCAAACTTCTTTGGAGCCATCTCTGATGCAATTGCTTGCAAAGTGGAAGAACTAGCTGCACCTCAAGTGAAAATCCCTAAGGAAAATTGTCCGAGAAGCAGTGACCCATATGATAGTTCTAAGGTATGTGTGGAATGGCCAAAGGAATAACGGAAGAGCGGAAGATCTAATTCTTTAATGGTTAGTTTTTAACACTTAATTTTACAGGTTCGGCTCGGTAATCTTCAGGATGATTCAACAACGTACTGCAGTGAACCAGATGGTAAGATATACAGTAACCCTACATTACAGCAATGTAATGAATGGTCACCCACAGGCGGATTATATGTTGTTGCTTTGGGTGTGTGCAGCACGGAGGGAAAAGCTGCACTTTGGTGATGTAATTGCTTTTTCTTGTAGCTCAGTAATATCTAAAGATACTTTTGAACGGGTACATTTTTTGTTCTAGGAATACATGTTTGTGCTTTGATGGAAACTGTTTTGAATAGTATAAGTAGTAAAAATTTACTTCTTGATCTTGGAGCAGCTGTGAACAAAATATTAGCAATGAGATTCAATGAAATTTGTGAGTGAGTCGTTGTCTAAATTTTAAATAGAATTGAAAATTGTACTTTCATCTTGAGAAGGTGGAATATGCAGCATTGAGAAAAACACTCCCAACTGCTCTTAAATGTTGCTGAAATTATCATGGTAGCAATTATGGCATTAATCGGACTAAATGCTCAAGCTGTACTCCGTTAATTGCACGCTTGCCCCTGAATCAGAAGGTTATGGGTTCAAACCGTAAAGTGGGACTTTGCCTCGCAGTCTAGACTGATGCTTAGATACAGTGCTGGGGAGGATTGCATTGTCGGAGATGCCATCCATGGATGAGACGTTAAACTGAGCCCCCGTCTGACTGTTCAAGTGGATGTTAAAGATTCCGTGGTACTATTTGAAAAAGAAAAAGGCGTTTCCCCCAGTGTACCGGCCAACAATACCCCAGATACAATTGGTAATTTGTGTTATGGCTATTTGTGAGATATTGCTGTGTGCAAATTACCTTGAATCCACAATCTTCTGACTCAAACTAGAGTTCTACCAACTGAGGAACACTGCCACCTTTTTGACATGTAAAAGTACATCAGAAATTGATCTTGCTGCATCTCTGAAGTGGTTAGGTCTATCATTAATTTTCTGGCATCAAATTAATGGAAAACTGATGTTCAAAGCTGTGTTTTCAGCTCATCGGAATGTTTTTTTTAAAAAAAAGGAATGTTTCCTTTTCACCTCTAATATGGAACTGCTGAAGGCAGAGCAAGAACACAAATCAGTAAATGTATTTCAAAGTTAGAGTTTAGAAAAAAATAAAAGATTGATTGCTTTCAAAAAGAATAGCAGAGAATGAAGAAATATAGAGTAGGAAGGAAAGGAAAGGACAGATTACTCTTGCAACATTTTCAACATTATTTCAGAATGTATTTTAAGTTTTTTTTAAACTTAGTACTATAGTAATAGTTATTTCTGGCATCTGGGTAGTTGTTGTTTGTTTCGGCATTATTGTGAGCGAACTTAAAAAAACTGTAAAATCCGGCATGCTGAAGAGACAAGAATTTTGTTGGACTTGCTAGCAACCTAGTGCTAAAGATCAGCTGGTTTAACAGTTGCTTGAATGGGACTAACTTTTTTATTTATATCTTTTGTATCTCCAGAACACTATGACTCCTGGTTATCAGAATTCAGTTTAGAAGATGAGAAGTATGCCATCTCAGATCTCTTGGTCAACAATGAATCAATGAGACATCTTTACACACAATTGGTAAACAATTCTCTACGTTGAATAAAAATAGACATGAAACAAAGGCAATCATGTACAGCTTGGCAATGTGGATACATCTGGTTTCTATTTTTTAACTTTATTTCTGTGTAACATAGACACTCATTTAAGTTTCCACATGTAGATGCCATATATCAAATGCAAGGATTATTATTGTATACATGTGGAATTATACATTCTTAAGCCGTCTGTTGGATTTCTGCATGTGTCAAACATCTGGCTGTGTGTAGGGACATATAGTGCAGAACCTACTTGATAAGCTATGTTATCAGAGATGGGTACAAGATGTCAGGTTCTTTAACGGTTGAGGGATGTTATTGAAATGTTGTACAGGAGCTTTGCTTGAGTCCAGTTCTGGCCAACCCAAGGCCCATGGGAATGTCAAGAAGTGGCCAGCAGAATACTCGCACTTCTAGGTGAATCTGTTTTAAATCAGTGTTTTGTTTCCAGTTTTTTTCTGTTGATTATAGCATCAATCAAGAAATATTCAATTAAGAACATTTATTTTGTTGGCTGACCAAACAGGTTGGCCACCAGTGCTCTAGTCTAATCATGCAACACCTGGCCCGGAAATGCTCAATACTGACATTGCAAGTTTGAAATGGCAATGTTTCTATTTCCCAGCATTTTCATTCCTTTTTGAGTGCAAAGGGTTTTTTAAAAGAGATGGTTTATCTAACCATGCACTACATGAAAGAAGTTTAAAATTAAGATTGTACATTCATGATGACAAGAAAGATCAGGGCTTCAAAAGGTCTTGTGATGTGCATGCTCTATACTAGTACAGCAGAGAACCCTTAAGTTGCTCTGACATTCATTTGGGAAATTAAATGATAGACAACATCCACAATAGTAGTAGCCTTTTGGTGTTTATACTGTTGAAACAATGGCCTGCTTTCATGTCCTTTGCCCTTTCCACCTCGCTATTGGTAGGCAAGCCTTCAGACATTCTGCCCCCGCTCTCTGGAACTGTCCCGGAATCCCTCTGACTTCCTTACGTTCAAAGCCTACCTTGTTTGAACGACTTCCGGTATCTTTCACTTCCCACCCTTTTCAACTCCCAGCTCTGGTACTGAGCTAAGAGTGTGAAGTGCTTTGAGGCATCCTCTTAACGTGAAAGATGCTGTATCCAGTAAACACCTGATTACTTGTTACTCCAAGGAAAAGGCTCAATGGCGAGTTATCTGGAGTAATGAGTTAGGCATGTGTATAAATACATAAATAAATGTGGCCAGAATAATGACAGCATGATGAATTAAGTAATAGTGACAAGTTAAATCAGGAGTTTACTGGAAGTGTAAATTATATTGCAACATTTGATTTGCTTTTTGTATGATTTTTGACAGGTTCCCTTGGAAGTTACTCACGTAGACTTTTGGTGTCGTTATTTCTACAGAGTATACCAGCTTCAGCAGGTCAGACTTTTTCTGAGTTTCATTTGTCACAGAAAATTGTGTTGCTGAAGTGTAATCTACCACCTCCTTTATTTATCCATTGAAAGTTATCCAGTACCGAACATTAGCCTTTAGGATTAAAGATTTTCCTTACTGTTGCATTATCTAACATGCAGCCAAGTAAGGGAAGGATTATCTGATCGCAAAATACATGATTTTCATAAAGGAGGGGTATTCCATGTGATATTCTCCTTCTCCTTGTGCCCCCACTTAACCAAGTGATATGATTATATGTAGATGTTGAAGTTCTTGTTAAAATAAAATAGGAATGCTCTATCTAGGGTAAATAATACAAGCGTTTGAGTGCTTAAGATTATAATTGACGTGTTCTGGGGAAAATTGTTCCTTTGGAACTATTCACTCTTTTGTGCTGACTTGAGTGTGGGTAGCTGTTTAAAGGTCAAAAATTACACCTCCGAAGTTTTAATTGACCTCATTCATTATATTTTAATAACATAAGTTGTTTTGATTGAATTGGTGTATTTCATTAAGGATTCGGATGATATAACAAAACTTTTTTTGTTTCTGTAGGAAGAAGCTAAGAGAACAGCTCTAAAGCAAAGGGCAGAACAGACTGTTTACGCTGAGGACCTGAAATGGGAAGATGACGAAGGTACAGAACCAAATTATAACACATCAAGGGTTAAACATTGGGAGGAATTTATCTGATGAAATGTTTTCAGTATTGGTTGATAATTCTCTCAGATGATCACTTTTAATTAATATTATGTTAACTTTATACATGCTCTGCTGCTCATTCTCCTGGTTTCCTGTCCCGGCCAATGATTCCCAAACTATATTGGTCATTCACTTCATGGCTGTTTGTGGGACATCGCTGTGTGCAAATGAGCTGCCGCATTCACCTACAAATACACAGTCACTACAATTTACAGCTTTGAAGCGCTTTTGAGACGTTCTCCCAATGTGAAAGGTGCTGTGTTTTGTGAGGATGTGGATAGCTGTTGAAGCATCTTGAAAAACCTGGTTTTACTTTTATTGATACCAGCAGTGAGTTTTCAAAAAGCTAACTTGAAATGATTTGTTTTAAAAATATTGTTAATCAGGTTTTTATACACGTTTATATCAACCAATGCATTGCTGTGTTTACTATTGGATAGTCACCAACAAAGTATAGTATATCATGAGGCCATCTTGTGGACATAATTTGTAAAGCAAAGTAACATTAGGTTAAAGTACTGTATCTGTTGTGTATGAATTAAAGCCAGAATTACATTAACAGCCTGTTTTTCAGGCCATTTAAACTTGGTGTACGATGGCTATATTGTCTCTGATTACTTGCAAAGCTATGATCATTTCTATCTTTTCTTAGGAGCAATCTGGGAGGAGCCCCTTTTTAATAAAAAGGGATTAAGTAATTATAATCTTTTTGCAGGACTGATAATATATCAATATGTCTGCAATTTATTGTTAAAGAGTGATTTGGTAGATTTCTATTAACGTGTATTGTGTGTGTCCTGAACATTGAAAGTTGAGATCAATTAATAGAAACTGAAAGATTACTTTTTTCTATGGTCTCTGTTTTGACTTTCATCACTTTTTGTCTACAGATGATTGGGATGATCCGAATGAATTAATCTGTGCTGATTTTAAATCGATTGACTTAAATGTTGTTTCTGAAGAGAGAAAAAGCAATTCCAGTCAGAGTAGAAAATGTAAAACCGAAGACTCATTAGGGATCAGCAAGCCTTGTTTCTCAGAAGCCTTTTTGAAAACTGTAGAAAGGGATGAGAGCAAACATGCTGCTCAAGAAGAGAAATTGTTCCATCGACAATTTGCAAATGAGGGTATAAGTGTGCGTGAGGACACTCCAGCATTTGAAGATTACCCCATGTCCGTTTCCAATTTTGTACCAAGTTACCACGATGGTGTCCTTTTACAGTCCAACACGAGTCAAGATGGGATCTTTGAACTAGATTCCAATATTGGACAATCTGCTTTGTATAAGGAGAAAAATGGTGAGCTTTCTCTCTGCAAATGTGAATTAAACTGTTAATTTTTGTTAAAATTAAATTTTTATTAAATTAATTCAATTTTATTAAACTTCCACCCACAAAATATACAGTCAATTCACTTTACAGTATATTCTGTGAAGCACTTTGAGACATCTCGAAGATGTGGTAAGGAGCTATATCAAATGCAAGGATGATTATTATTATGCCAGGAGAGGAGCTCCAATGCTTACTGAAGCCTAATTTATACTCCACATTTCACGGCAAATAGCCATCACAATTGTGCTGATTCATCAGAAAGCATGCAGCAATATTCAGAAATTGTACTTGTAGCATAGGATAAATACAGTATTGATGAATTTTACATAATAATAATAATAAATCAATAAGTTGCAAATTGTCAAAGAGGGAAGCCATATGGTCACTATTCAGGTTCAATTTCCAATCTTGAGTTTGATGTTCTCAGAGCAACAGTTAGGGAATTACAATTGACTCTGTGCCTCTGAGGGAAGGGAAAATAAACTAGGGTCCCTGGTCCTGAATCCTAACCAGAGACTGCTGCTGAATGTGGTGGCAGGATCAGGTCAGGCTGTGATGCCTCCCACAGTTGAATTGCTTGCCTAAACTCATTGCAAAGGTTCATGTCTGAACAATGGCCATAGAAGGAAACGGAGAGGAAGGAAGAAAATGAGATATAAAAAATCTTAAAAATTTCTACATAGTAAACCGGTAATGACTCAGATTTTCTCATACCATTACAGTGATACCGATTGACAATTCTTTTAGCAGTAGTTTATAAAGAACATACAGCACGGAAACAGGCCACTCAACCCAAGGAGTCAATGCCAGTCTTTATACTGCATATGAGTCTCCACCTATTTTTTTACTCCCTCCCTTACCCTTATGTACCCCTCTACCCTCTGGTCTGTCTTCCTCTTGAATTCATCTAGTTTGAGTAGTTCCATTTTCTATAGAAATACTCCCTTTTTCCTTTCCAGTTTTTAGTTTACAACTTTTATCTATGTACAGAATCCAGTTCAGGTTTTGCTGAAGACTGGGATGAAGATCTTGCTCTAGACATGACTGAAGAAGAAATACAGATGACTTTATCTCGAGCTGAAGCTTCAGGAGAGGTAATCATTTTTGTTCTGAAAACCTTTTGTGTTGCGTTGTTTGCAAACATACAAGGCTAATATAATAATGCAATACAACTTCTTTCTCCCCAGCTTGAATCTGGAGAGTGGGATGATTGGGTGTGAGAAGAAAAGTCGTGCCACACAAATCTGAATGTTCCAGCTTTTTAACTAGTATTCTTTATCTTATAACAATCTATTGCCATTGCTAAGGTGCTGTATTATTAAAGGAAACTAAGTATCTACTTCTTGCTGACATGATAGTATCAGGTCTACATCATGTCTCCAACTAATCATTTTTAGAGTTGTTAGAGTTGTGCAGTTCTTTTCTGAATTGATTGAAGATCGGGCTTTGAACACAACCTAGATGTAAAGTATAGCATCACTGACAGCTGCTAGTTGTGAACTAAATTGGTAGGTTATGCCAAATCCACACACAGTATTCGTGCCTGCATCTGTCCACATGGTGGCAGAAAACTGACCATATTTGCTCTGTTGCTAGTCTTTCATAAAATGCACAAAGGTGAGACCAAGTGTTTTTTAAAAAAACATTAATTTGCCAATGTAGAATGAGCCCAAATAAGTAAAACGCTCCCTGACTTGGATATCTGAGAAAAAAGCTGCAACCTGTCTGATCTTTCTTGATAAAGTAATGAAAAATTGTGAATGGAATGTTGGTCTTTATCTCAAAGGGCCTGGAATACAAAGGGGAAGAAACGATGCTTCAGCTGTTTAGAGCGTTAGTCAGACCCCATCTGGAGACTGCGTTCAGTTTTGGGCACCACACCTCAGGAAAGATATATTGGACCTGGAGGGGGTGCAGAGCAGGTTAACCAGAATGTTACCAGGCCTAAAAGAATTAAGTTACGAGGAAAGGCTGCGTAAACTTGGATTGTATTCCCTTGAGTTTAGAAGGTTGAGGGGTGATTTGATTGAGGTATCTAAGATGATAAAGGGATTCGATACGGTAGATACAGAGAAGCTGTTTCCTCTGGTGGGGTTAGAAGCCATTTAAGCATGAAATCAGGAAGCATATTTTCACTTAAAAGTGTGGTAGAAATCTGGAATTCTCTCCCCAAAAAGGATGTGGATGCTGGATTCATCCACACCTTCAAGAGTGAGGTTGATACATTTTTGGTAGGTCAGGGTTTTAAGGGATATGGGTAGAAAGCAGGAAATTGGAATTGAAAGGATTAGATGAGCTACAGATCAGCCATGATCTAATTGAATGCCGGAACAGGCTCGAATGGCTGAATGGCCTACTCCTGTTCCTGTGTTCTTATAGCTGTATCCACTCATCCTTCATGACATCTTTGTAAATCTATTCTGTACTTTAATGCTATAATATCTTCTATATAATGTGGTGACCAGAACTGTACACAGTACTCCAAATGTGGTCATTTAAAGGCTTAAATGACTTTAGCATCACTTCCCTACTTTTATACTCTTTCCTCTGGGCATAAAGCCAAAGACTCCATTTGCACTTGATTTCAAGATCCTCATTCTTGTATTCAAGTCCCTGCACTCCTCTGCACCCCCCTACCTCTCTGACCTCTCTCCTCAAAACAGTACCCGTTGCCTTTGTTCCTCTGGGTCTGGCCTCCTCCTTGTCCCCCAAGTCCTCCACTCCACCCTCGGCGGCTGTGCCTTCAGCCACTATGCCCCGAGGCTCTGGAACTGCCTTCCTCACTCCCTTTGTCTCGCTCCCTCCCTTTTCAGGTCTCTGTTGAAGACCTTTCTTCTCGACCACGCCTTTGGTCACCTTCCTCCCCCTCCCCCTGGCTCGGTTTCGGGATCCGTTACTATGGAGCGCTCTGAGACACCGACCGGCGTGGAGGGCGCTATATAAATCCGAGTTGTTGTTGTTGTTATGGCTTTGTCCACCTGTGCTGCTACTTTTAGAGTCAATGTCATCAACGATGGAGGATCTAGTCCACGGACTCAATGCTATACCTCAAAATTTTGCTTTGTTGTAAGAGGGGCCAAGAGTGAGATGATCGATCTTACCCATGAACCCAATTTTTACTGAAAGACAAAACAACTTTGTTCTTCTGCCATGAAAATTTGAATTTCTATCTGATTTTCTTTTACCTCGATTTCTTTTGATGTTAGTTGAGAGATGGGAAGCAGCTGGCACCATCATGCAAGACCTCATAAATATTTGCAAAACATAAGTGTCACAAGGTGGTGTTTGGAAAATTCACACTTTTGTAGTTCTGTTGCTTGCAGCTATAATAGATTGTCCAATTGTAAATTCAGAGACTACAGTCCAAGCAAGTTAACCCTTATGTCTCTTGTGCTTTTTCTGCATGTTGTATTTGTTTAGTTCACAATGGACGATTCCTATCAACCATTCTTGCCTATCAAGGATTTATTTTGATACATCTATTGTTTATAAACATAGTCTGAATGTTTATTTAATTTCAACATGTTAATGCTGACTTGTCCTTTTCAAAATGTGTGAAGTCAGCGGATCATTTTGCAAAGGGGGTGATTGTTCATTGCTGCCATAAGAAGCTTCTCTTAATTTATGTATTGCAAACTTTGCACATTAAATATGTCACATTTTAAAAGGTTTTCTTCACTTCCTATCAAGGTGTGTCTTTTGTCATTCAGAACTCTGCAGCTCGTGTACTGTCCCGCACCAGGCTTCGGGACCACATCACTCCCACCCTCGCTCGCCTCCACTGGCTCCCCATCCCCCAGAGGATTGATTTCAAGATCCTCAACCTCACCTACAAGGCCATTCACGGCCTTGCTCCCTCCTACCTCTCCAACCTACTATCCCCTACCTACCTGCCCGTACCTCCGTTCCTCCGGCTCCGGTCTGCTCCACGTCCCCGCCCCAATCGCCCTACCATTGGTGGTCGGCCTTCAGCCTCTCAGCCCCGAGGCTCTGGAACTCTATCCCCCAGTGCCTTCGCCTTGCTTCCTCCCTCTCCTCCTTCAAGGCCGGTCTCAAAACCTTTCTCTTTGACCGAGCCTTCAGCTCCCCTCTCGACTCTCTTCCCCTCCTCGCTCCCTCCCCTCCCCCTGACCATTTCCCCCTGCTCGGGTCATGACCCAACTGTGCAGCGCCTTGGGACGTCCTCCTGACGTGAAAGGCGCTTTATAAATGGAATCTTGTTGTTGTTGTTGTTTGTTTCTCAGTGTTTCATGACTCTGGAGAACGGCAGAGAACTAAGGATATGCATGTTCCAAGGCCTATGTTCTTAGGCCTTAGGACATTTTAACAATGGCTAGCATTTTGAGATGTCTTCTTGAATGTATCGCTATGTAAATTGTATACAACAGTCTGCATGCGTATGGCAAAGAAAGGGGTGGGGTGGGGGGGAGGTCTGGAGTGGCTCAATGTTTCATTGAGTGAGCCTGTGCAAGCTACTCCCCTCTCCCAGTGATAGGGAGTTGAGGCAGTTGAGCGATATGATGAGATGCTTAGCTGGCTTCAAAAACTCGATCACTATTTAGGGTGGTTGAATCCACCACTTCCCAGAGCCTAGTTACAAGTACAATCGCACAAGATTCTGCATTAAAAAAGTAAACTTGTACACTAATTCTGTTTGTGTTTGCCCATCGGAATTTCGAACCCCATATATGAAACCATCAAATATCCAATGTTCATCGGCTGTCCCCAGAAAGTCTTGCCAGATATATTTGCAATATTAACGGTTGAGTGCGCCAGAGAGTGTTTTGCTTGATTTTCCATCAGGTTAGTTTACAGCAAATGGCCCATAAGAATCATGTAATGCAAGCAGCCTATTGAATGATATAAAAAGGTGGTACAATGATACTAAATATCCCTTAAAGGCAAATGTTAACATTCTGTGTATAATTCTTGAGGTCAATATCAAAAGAATATTGTACAAAAGTAATTAAACTCTAGCAAAGAGCATTAAAGTAGAATACTTTAAGAGCATTAAAGTAAAATACTAGTTATTTTGACAAATGCTGCCTGTGTTGATGCAATATAACATATTTATTTGGATTTAAATGAACTGTACATTGCTTGCAAACTGCCTCAAAAGGTTGACATATTGCTCTCAATAAAATATGTGTTCATATAACTCTTTGAGTTGAATGGAGTCTTGTAGCTCAGTGGTTTGAGCACTTGCCTCGCAAACGAGAGAACTGGATTTGATTCCCGGGAGAATTGTTGGGCAAGTTTCCTTACTCCACATGGCTCAGTTTGCTTAGCAACAAGTAGGAACCCAGGTGTTAGTCGATTGGCATATCACTTTTCGGAGGATAATAATCCTTCACAAAAACAATAATAATTTGGTCACTCAATCCACTACTGTGGGTTACTGCATTTCGCCCACAAATATACAGTCAATTCACTTTACAATTCACTTTACAGTATATTCCGTGAAGTACTTTGAGACGTCTAGACATGAAAAGTGCTATATCAAATGCAAGGATTATTATTATTATTTATTATTTGAGTGTCAATTTTTAAAGACCCATTGTTGCATTTACTGAGAATGCATTATTTAAAAAGTCCACACAAACGAATCGAAGCTTGAGCTTCCAGGGTTTTAGAAACTGTCAATTCAACACTTAAAAATTGTAAAAATGATGTACTCGACACATTAAAATCTCATATTAATTATCCACAAAAATATGATTGCCTTTGTCACTGAGGCAGTGGGTATTAGAAAGCTGGTTCAGTGAATAACCTTTGTGGTTAACTAATATACGTCAAGTGCTTAAAATGTGGTTATTTTATGAAAAAATATTTTCTAGAACAACCTCTTTAGGGTAAGATATATTTCAAATCAGAAAATGGGGTGAATTTAATGTATCCCAAAAAGAGCATTTATGCAGCAGCATACTGGAGTTTCGAAATGGAAGAGGGTGGTTGCAGGTGGAGAGGTTCAGGGAGAAACATTCCACAGAGTGGAGGCAGGGTAGTTGATGGTGGGCTGTAGGGGGTAGCGAAAGTGAAGGTGGGAGGGAAAGGGACATGTGAAGTTGGCCAAGGTTTATAGAGAGAAGGAAGTGGGCAGGAGAGTAGGAGTGCTGGAGATCTTGAAACTGAAGACATTGATTTACCGCTTTAATCTTTTCCCTGAGGATCCAAAGAGCATGCCATTAAAATACAAAATAATTTTTACTAATACAACTGCTGTGCAATAAGTGGTTGGATGTACTGCTTGGGGTTGAAGTTAAGAGGGTGATCTGATTTAGGTGTTTAAATAATAAACGTAATTCACAAATTAGATAACAGTCTTCCCTCTAGGAGAGGTTTCCAAAACAAGGGTACATCATTTTAATAGTGGATCTAAAACAATTAGAAATGTTATCGTGAAACATTTCTTAAATTTGCATTGATTGTCTGATTGTCTTTGTGACAGAATCACTTTGCATCGTTTAAAAGGGAGATATATGGGGATTTGGAAAACGAGTTATTAAAGGGAAAGCTGTATTGCTTGAAAATGGGATTAATAGATCTGCCTTGTATGATCTTACAAATTGGTGGAACAGACTCAATGGACTAAATGTTCTCCTGTCCCTCTCTTCAGATGTCAATTTCCTCATAGGTAGCACTTCCGCCGTCTTTTCTGGGACATCATAAAGTATGTTCCGTGAAGCGCTTTGAGACGTCTCGAAGATGTGTTGAGGCACAATATCAAATGCAATTATTATTATTAGTAGTAGTGGTATTATCATCATCATGTGCTGATAGATCAGAGCACCCCCTGGTGTGGTGTGTTTGC